ACCGTGTCAGGCGGTGGCAAAGCCGACGGCGACGGTGGAGCGAAGAACAGTCGCGACGGCGGAGCTCCGCCAGCACCTCCAGCACCCGCAGCACCAGTACCAGCACCCCCCGCCGCAGCACCCCCAGAGCCGGCGACGTCAGCACCAGAGGCCCCAGCAGCGGCAGACCTCCCCTCGCCAGCACCTCCAGAACCAGCAGGACCAACACCTCCAGGACCGTCAGCTCCAGTGTCGTCAGCTCCAGCAGCTCCAGCACCTCCAGGAAGAGCACCCCCAGAGCCGGCAGCTCCAACTCCGCTAGGACCGTCAGCTCCAGAGGCCCCAGCTCCAGCAGCTCCAGCCTCAGTGCTCCCAGCCCCGGCAGCTCCAGTACCCCCAGTACGAGCACCTCCAGGACGAGCAGCTCCAGAACCTCCAACTCCAGCGGGACCACGAGGAAGGCGAAAGCGCTGGACGTACCAGTCACGAAGCTGCTGCTGTGTGAGAGGCTCCCGGAGAGACGGCTCAGCACCCCGAACCGGAGCACCCCCAGACGCAGCAACCCCAGGCTCCGTAGGCTCAGTCGCAGCACCCCCAGGCTCAGGACCCCCAGACTCAGCACCCGAAGGCTCAGTGCACCCAGGCCCGGCAGCTCCAACCCCGCTAGCACCGCCAGCTCCAGCAGCTCCAGCCTCAGTGCTCCCAGAACAACCAGCCCCGGCAGCTCCAGTACCTCCGGTACGAGCACCTCCAGGACGAGCAGCTCCAGAACCTCCAACTCCAGCAGGGCCACGAGGACGGCGAAAGCGCCGGACGTACCAGTCACGAAGCTGCTGCTGTGTGAGAGACGGCTCAGCACCCCGAACCGGAGCACCCCCAGACGCAGCAACCCCAGGCTCCGCAGGCTCAGTCGCAGCACCCCCAGGCTCAGTACCCTCAGGCGCAGCACCCCCAGGCTCAGCACCCCCAGACTCGGCACCCCCAGGCTCAGTACACCCAGGCTCCGTACACGCACGCTCAGCACCCCCAGTCGCAGCACCCCCAGGCTCAGCACCCCCAGGCTCTGTACTCTCAAGCACCGTACCCTCAGCTCCAGCACCCTCAGTCCCAGCACCCGCAGCCCCAGCACCCCCAGGCCCAGCACCCCCAGGCTCAGCACCCCCAGGCTCAGCACTCCCAGCAGCACCACCCGCAGCAGCACCTGAGTCACCTGTGACCTCGACAGGCTCAGCGACGGGAGGAGGGTCTACCTGAGAGACACCTGAAGGAGCAGGACCCTGAGGGGTTAGGGGGTCTACCGGAGGGGGACCAGGAGCGAGGAAAAGCGGCGGGGGAGGGAGGGGGGCAGTGCGGTAGGGGAAGAGACGGTAAAAAGGGACCGACTCGTCAAAGGTGACGTCCTGAGAGGCGAAGACCCGGCGCGAGGTGGGGTGGTAAAACTGCCAGCCAGGCGCGTCAGGGACAAAGCCAAGGAAGACACAGGGGACAGCGCGGGCGGAGAGCTTGTCCGCGGTGGTATCGCGAACAAAGGCACGAGAACCCCAGACCCGGAAACGCGACGCATCGCCAACCTTCCCCGTCCACAGCAGTGTGGGCGAGGTCTCCGGCAAGGAGACACGGGGCCAGAGGTTGAGCTGATGCGTGGCGTACCGGACCGCAAACGGCCACAGAAAATGGGGGGCAGCCACATGGACCATGGAGGTACGAGCGACCTCCATGACCAAGCCAATGCGGCGCTCAGCAATCCCATTCTGCTGCGGAGAGGCCGGAAGCGTGAACGACTGGGTGATGCCGTGCTCCGCACAGTAGGCTGCCAAGAGGTCGGAGGAAAACTCACCACCTCTGTCAGAGTGCAGACGTAGGACGGGAAACTCTGTCCCGAACCGCCGGCGGAGCTGGAGACGAGCAGCGCGGATCCAGGGGATCAAAACAGTAGGGACCTCACCCTTGGTGCGCAAGGGGAAGACCGTGGTGTAACGCGTGTAGTCGTCGACGACCAGCAGGAAGTACCGCTCGTGGTCCTGTCCACGGACGCGGGCTGGGCCCCACACGTCCAAGTGGAGAGTCTGCAAGGGAGCCTCTGTGGGAGGGAACGAGGAGGAGTGAGGAGCGGCGCGCTGCCGCCCCTCGACACAGGGAAGACAGGGAGGAGCAGGCAAGGGTGGGAGGGGAGGGAGAACCCTGGGAAGACCAGAGACAAGGACACGACGGTGCATGCTGCGAAGGCGCTGCACCGAGGGGTGACCAAGGCGGTGGTGCCAAAGGAGGGTCTCGTGCGACAAGGCGCGACACAAGCAGGGGGCCGACAGCTGACCTGACGCAGACGCAGACGCAGCTACCTGAGGGGACTTAGTGGTCAGTGTGTACAGGCTTGAGCCAGGCTCACAGGTGAAAGTGGCCAGGTGTCGGCCCGTCCGAGCACACGTACAGTGAGTCACCCGCTGACGCGCAGGAGTGAACTGGTCAACCCCCCCATCCTGGAGGTCAGCTCCACTCACCAGGTTCGTAGAGAACGAGGGGAGGTAGAGACCTGACAGCAAGCCAGACGGGGCGGCCGGACACGGCAGAACCGTGGAGTAGTGGGCAAGGACTGGCACCCCAGAGGGGTCGGCCAGGGAGACTGCAACCGGCCGACGAAGCGGCGTAAGTGTGGTGCAGTCGCGAAAGAAGGAGCGGGAAGCTCCTGAGTCAAGGGTGAAGGTGTGCAGGGTCGCAGCAGGCGAAGAACCAGAGAGGGCAGACTCACCAGGACCTGGAGCAGCAGCCTCACCAGCACCTAGAGCTGGAGACGCAGTAGCACCTAGAGCAGCAGCCTCACCAGCACCTAGAGCAGGAGACGCAGTAGCACCTAGAGCAGCAGCCTCACCAGTACCTAGAGCAGCAGGCGCGATACCTGGGTCAGGCGGCGCACACAGGTAACAGGCACGGTCAGCACTAGTAGGCAATGCATACATGGCAGTGAGAATAGCATCATAGTCAAGAGCAAATATATCTACTCTCTGCCTAAGTAGCTCCACCCAGTCGGGGAGCTCAGCCCCGTCGCCAAACTCGGTGCGCCAGGCGTCGCTCAGACGGGCGAAGCAGCGGGACTGCGTGTGACTAGGTGTCCCGCAAGGCTGACCAGTCCGAGCACCAGTGCGAATGACGTAAGAGCAGCGAACAGAACTGAGAGACCCTCTACTCTGAGCGTACCACTCACGAAGCTGCTGGGGCGTGCGAGACTCGCGTGGACGACAGTGTAGCTGCATCTGGCCACCGCCAGTAGCAGCAGCAGCAGCAGTAGTGGCAGCAGTAGCAGCGCGGCCACCCCTACAACCCCAACTAGCGGACCACTCACGCAGCTGCTGGGGCGTGAGGGACTCACGCGGACGTCGCTGGGGCTGCATCTGGCGTCGGCCAGTAGCAGCAGGTCAGGCAGGCAGGCAGGCCGGCGGCGCGGCCGCGTGCTAGCAAGGCAGGGGCTCACCAGTAGCAGGAAGAGCAGGCTCTCACCGGGCGAGCAGGGCCGGTGCTCGGCGGACGGCGGCAGGGTCAGCGTACGACGGCGGCGACAGCAGGGCCGTGGCAGCGGTTTACAGTGAAGGGCCGGATCGAGTCAGCGGCAGGGCAGGGCCGGGTCGTGGCAGCGGCAGGGCAGGGCCGGGTCGTGGCAGCGGCAGGGTGGGGCCGTGGCGGCGGTAGGGTGGCGCGAGCCGCTGCCGGGGGCCGTGCACTGGCGGGTAGGGCGCGGCGCGGGCCGCGGACGCGCCGCGCGGACTTGGGGCGAGCTGCGCGGGGCAGCGGCGGGCCGCGCGCGCGTCGCGCGGGCTCGGGACGGGCTGCGCGGGGCAGCTGCGGGCCGCGCGCGCGTCGAGCGGGCTCGGGACGGGCTGCGCGGCAGGCAGCGCGACGGCGGGCAGCGCGGCGGGCAGTGCGACGGGCGGGCAGCGCGGCGGTCGGGCAGCGCGGCGTGCAGCGCGACGGGCGGGCAGCGCGGCGAGCGGGCAGCGCAGCGGGCTGCGCGACTGGCGGGCGACGCGGCAGGCAGCGCGACGGTGGGCAGCGCGGCGGGCAGCGCGACGGGCGGGCAGCGCGGGCGCACGAGGGCGCTAACGAGGGGCGCACGAGGGCGCTAACTGGGGCGCGTGAAGGCGCTAACGAGGGGCGCGCGAGGGCGCAGCGAGGGCGCGCGAGGGCGCTAACGAGGGCGCGCGAGGGCGCTAACGAGGGCGCACGAGGGCGCAGCTAGGCTAGGGCACGGGGTAGCGTGGTAACCGCATGCGAGCGGTGGTGGGCCCTAAAAAAACGGTCGGTAGGTCCTAGGGACCTCCTGCTCTGAATACCATGTCAACAAGACTAGGCAAGAATGGTGCATTGAATGAAACAGTTGGGTACAAGTAGCAAACCCTAGTTGGGGTTGTACCCCATATTGGCTACCCCACTACAGCCTACCAACATGTAACACATTACAATTTAACACGGCGGACCGAGTCTGGTTTTCCGAAAACCGGGGTTGTACGCGTACAGTGTGACCCAGTAAGGAATCCGGAAAATTCCTTACAGTTTTCCTTACTTTGCACCCCTACTTGCGTACATTACTATTTCCGCCACACTGTGCACCGTTGCCACTCGCAACACTCTCCTCGACCACATTCCCGCCACTACACCCGTCGCAACCCGACCGCACGGCTCAGCTGGTAACCCACGCAACGGGCCTCCGCTTCGACATTTCTCGACCTCAGTCCCGACCTCAGTCACCGGCCCGTCGCGCACCTCCCACACCTCGTTACCGTTACCACTGTGACATTCGCTATAATTCTCGCTCATGTCTTCGCTCAATGGACTGTCTTGCTTCGATAGTGCAATTCTCGCTCGCTCGCTCAATTGCACTCGTAACAAATTTGAATATATATTTGCACATCCATCTCGGGTCACGTGCATAACATAATCAAGAACATACAAATTGACACTGCCATATGGGTGGTCAACGACACAAATGATGTATCCTCAACATAATCAACAGAGGAACAACTGATGTCTATTTACAAAAACATAATAAATGGGGTTTCTCCCTCTTCAACAGGTGTATCCTCCACTTCCGATTCCTTAGCTGCATGACAAGAGCTGCACTTTGGCCCCCTTGTTTCAACAGCCTTCATGCAGTTCGCGCTAGCCTCCCCATCCATGCTCCTGGTAGTTCCCACCATTTCTCGTCTTTTAGCTTCCTCCTCACTCCTCTCCTGAGCAGCCAGCTGCAGCTTGAGCCGCTTATTCTCCTCTGCCAGCTGCTGGCAAAGCCTCCTCAGCCCCTCAAGCTCCGCCTCTGTCTGCTTCACCTTGGTGCGCGCCCGCCGGTTCTGAAACCACACCTCCACCTGCCGCACCCGCACTCCCAAACTCTTCGCCAAACCCGCCTTCTGACGCGGCGTCAGATGTGGATGCTTCTTGAAAAAATCCTCCAGCATTGTTAACTGCTCCCTCGTAAGCCGCATTTTCTTTTTGTTGCCATTCGTCTCGGCACCTCCCTCCCCTTCCCCCTCTCCCTCCCCCTCCGCATCAGCAATCTCCCACTCCCCCTGACCCTCCATGAACGCCCCACCGCTTTCCTTACCTTCCCCTTCCTCATCCGAGCTTCCACTCAACCGGAACTCTCCAGCTACTTCTGGACTGAACACCCTAGGCTTGAATCCTGCTTGGGGCGAGAACAGAGCCCCAAAGCTTTTACCAGCGGACCCGCTGGTGGGGAACGGCGCGTTCGATGCTCTACGCTCCTCACCATCAGCCGTATCCCAAGATTTCCGCTTCAGCGATGCGCGTTCGGTGTTCCCTGGTTTCCCAAACGCGCCAGTTCCCCCGAATCCACGCGCCTGCGGGCTACCAGGCGCAGCGGCGGCCGCAAGGGACCCGGCCGCGATGTTCAGATCGCGGAGGCTGGCGCGCGGACCCTCCGCCGATGGGGAGTTCCGCGGATTGAGCCACGCAGCCGCGGATGTGGTTTGAGGGGCGCCCACTGCGAGGGGAGGATAGATTGACGTGTACGGTGGCGCATCATGCGCCGCAAAGGACGGCGCGTCTGACGCGAAAGTCGGTCGCACGGACGATGAGGGGAGGAGAGTCGCACCGCCCTCCGCCGCGTTGAGAAGCTGGGCGAGAGGTCCGCGAGAGCCAGGAGATGCGGCGACGAGGCGCGCGATCTGAAGCAGCGCAGCGGCCTGATTGGAGTCTGACAACGCTGTGTTCTTCGAATTTGTCGTAGCATCCGCCATGTCAGCGGATGTCGCACCTCTGGTTGCGCCTGTCGTCGCCAGCGACGGCAGCGTCGGTGCAACGATGCCGACGGGAAGCGCAGATTGGCGCGCAGAGCGGAAGTCGGAATTGGCAGCGGCTGCAGCGGCGGGAGATGCGGCGCAGGTTGACGCGAGCTGCTGTAGCAGCGACGACACAAGCACGGCGTTTGGAGCTAGCGAGCCGAACTGCTGCTGCTGCTGCTGCTGCGGCGGCGGCGGCGGCGGTTGAAGCCTCTCAGCCGCAACGGCTGGCTCTGCTTGCTGCTGCAGCCGCTGCAAAAGCAGCTGGAGCTGCTGCTGCTGTTGCTGCTGCTGCTGCTGCTGCTGCAGTCGCTGCTGTTGTTGCTGCATTTGTTTGTTCTGGCAAGACGAAGAGGGTTGAAAAGGCGCCTCTCGATGGTGGTTCAAGCCGAGCTTCTCCGAGGGTTTCGAGTCGAAACTTCGCGCGCTGCAGTCCGTGACGTCGCTAGACGCGCGAGCCTGCTCCAGAGCGTCTCTACTGCCTCTCGAAACTCCAGGATTCGCTCCTGAAGCTCTCAGAGCAAGGTTTAAGACCAAATCGTTGTGAGCGTTTGCGCCGAGGTGATTGGCAGGAATTGACATTCTGTGAGTGAAGAGCAAGTGCTTATTGGCACGCGAATGGCGGGGAAGAAGCGAGAAACGGTGGAGCAAAACGGGCTTAGTGATTTCAGAGTTCGCGTGAGGAATATGCGAGCTCCACTACAGAGGAAGAGCTTTTGAATCGGAAATGCGGCTCGCAATTCAAGTGGTAGGGAACACAGTTGAATGGGGATGCGAGGGCCTGTTCTAACTGTGGAAGTTGGTGTCACCTGTTTCTGGACTTGGCCGCTGCTCTGCGCGGGGGTTCAGACATTCCACATGGCATGGCGATTCGAGAAGATCGTTTGGTACTGTATGTGTGGATCTGGGTCCCCGTGGTTCCGTTTTGAGGCAAGATACAGCGTGGCAGGTAGCTGATTGGTTGATAACATGCTCATGATAAGGTCGCCGACATGGATGCCTGAACGAGACACCACCAACCACATGACAGAGCCCTCAGCAAAATGGGTTTTGATTGGCCGCATGTCCAGCGAAGTCGGTGCAATAGCGGGCGGCAGTGTGTTTCCTGCAAATCAATGAAGATGTACAGTACATACGAATGGATGGATTGAAGCCTGTTTGTCGGTTAGAAATCAGCAGCGACAAAAAAACAAGAAACGGCGACGAATCAACGAGGAACTGTTGCAATGCCAAGGCTTTCACCTCCCACCCAACTGGCCTTGTTGGCCAGCTGGAATGGCAACATTTCAATGCTGGCAAGTCGCGACGAGGGAGAGAGACGGAAGAGACAAGACTGCTGAAGATTAGCGAGCATCCTTGCGTCATCAGGCTTTGCATCCCGACAAAAGCATTAAAATTTTGTAGTTTCGAGGAAATTAAAAGAAGACGCAATCAGTTTCAAGCCCAACCAAGCGTGCGGAAATATGCTGGCAAGTAGGGCATCATCAGCTGCCACGTGGAGTTTGTCTTTGTGGGTGTGGATGGAGCTTCTAATGTGCTGTTCAACCTCAAATGGTTCATTGTAAGTCGCCCTGCGATGGAGACACTCACAACCTCTGACATACGTTACGTTCATGTAAAAATAGAGAACTGTGAGCCTTACTTAAATCACATACCTACCATAAACCAAAGGGGTAGAACATGCCAAGAAATCTATTTTATAACATTTAGAGGTTATAGTATCTGATGTAAAACAGGATTTTTACTCCAACATCCTCCATATCCACCATTTTGTTTCCTGATCTATGCATTTTTTTTACAGGTCTTGCAGAAGTGATTGGGAGTGTAACGTGGTCTAGGCCTTCCTTACCAGATAACGACTTTTCTCCTGGCGAAGACAATGTTTCAAGCCACCCATGCCTGGAAGGTTTGAAGCCCACTCACCATTCAAAACGCTGGGTTTGGGGTGTAGCATAGACGTAGTTAGGAGCGTAGCGCGGCGAAGTGTAGCTCAGGCGTCAGGAGCGTGGCGCGAGGCATCGGGGAATCGAATCGCGGCGAGTCGAATTGTGACGTGTCGACTCGAGGGAATTCATGGCGGCCGCACCCCTCGCCGCTGCCGAAACGGTAGCATCGCCCGTCGCATTATTCGCGCTGGACTCGCGAAGACTTCTTATTCCGTACAAGTGCGTTACCCTGTTACCACGAAAAGCGCCGCTTTCTCACACGTATTCCATAGTCGCTATGCCTCGCTATAGTCACTTTTCTGGCGCTGGTTATCCCTCGACGAAAGCCTTGCGATTCCACGTGTCAGCGAGCGGGAGTGACGTGGACGGACCTTCGCAGCGCGTCGGCTCTAGGCGACGCGGTAGGCCCCGGAAGAACAAATTCCCGGAGGACGAAACTTCGAGGGAAAGCTCCGCAGGATCGGAAAGTTCGCTGAGCGTTCCCAAGAGTGGCGACGAAGTTTCCTGGTCGGAGAGCTCTGACGAATTCAGCGGGTCTGACGGCGAGGGTTCAGGGTTTCAGAGGGCCTTAGCGGTTCCAGAAGACAGTTTCGACCAATCAGGCTTCGTTAACTCGCGCGAGCAGTTCGAGGAAGCTTCTGTTGAAATCGTGACTGTATCGGGCAGGGCGTCGGAGGACGACTCGGGAGAGATCGTGACTGTATCTGACGTTTTTTCGAGTTCGGATGACAATAATGAGGGCTCGGATGTAGATCGTCAAGACTATGACGAGGGATCGGCAGAAGCTGATTGGTCCAACGGAAACGAGGATCAGCCGAGCGGTAGCGCTGCTGGGGGTAGCAGGGCGGTGGGGGGGCTCCCCCCTCCAACGTGGCGACAAAATCTGCCGCCCTCTCCGCCGCCCGCGCCTGCGGGCCCCAGTCAGGTGGTTTGCGTAGGGGAGGCGGTTCGGGAATTCGTTCCCGTTGTGCGCCGCAGCTCGCGGCAAGCCCCTGACGAGATATTTGCCACGTGGCGCAATCTCCAGTGGGTGCCTCCGGATTTCGCGCGCGCCCCGGGCGGGCCGGCGTGCCAGGTGGCGGTCGCGCTGGCTCGGCTGAATGCTGACGTGGCGTTCGTGGGAGCAGTAGGGGATGACGAGGCGGGGCAAGCATTTTTGGAAATCCTGGACGCGAATGGCGTGTCGACACGTGGCGTGGAGATGCAAGCTGGATTAAGAACCGGAGCAAAGCTAATTTCGCTGGAAAAAGCGCAAGCGCAAGAAAATTATGAAGAATCAACGGCGAGAGAGGAGTTAGAATTGCGAGAAGGAGAGGTGCTTAGAGGGGGGGTGGTGATTAAAAAGAGCAGCAGCGGGTCGAGTAAGAGTGCGGGCACTGCATGGCGTGTCGGCTTCCCATTGGCCGAGGAAGCGCGTGACGTGGCAGGTCGAGAGGAGGAAGAAGGGGAGAACGAGGAGGACGAAGAGGAGGAGGAGAGGAAGGAGTCAAGAGAGGGGAGGGGGGATGGGGAGCGGCGAGTAAAGGGGCTGGCAGTGGCGGCGGCAGCATCTGGGGGAGGTGTATCTGAGGACGCAAAGGACGTGCTCAGACAGGTGTGTCTATGAGATGCGTATTACTGTCACAGACAGCCTCAACATGTGAGGCTGCCTTAAAGGCCACACCCAGAATTACCGAGTCGGGCGTGAAACTGTCACCACTTTCACGCGATTGGTCGAAATTTTTGAGTGGTTTTTGGCTGCGATTGGTGTTCGATTTTCCCACCGAACCTCCTCTTGGGGTTTTTCCGAACCTAGAATTTCGGGGTTAACTTTGTTGTGTAGTTCGGGCTTTGGCCTTAAGGCTGCAGATTCCAATCAGCATTGTGTGCTCGTGGGCCTCATCAGCATCAGATCCGAGAGTAATCTGCATCTCTGCTCTCGGCAGTTCTCTTGGTCCCTTCTTCTCTCATCATCTCAGCAGACCTTTCAACCGCATCCCACTCCTTTCGTCTCCACACCCGATTCCTCCTTTTCAGGCGTCGTGGATTCACTGCACCTCCATGTCTCTCGCCACTCCTTCCGACCGCACTGCACTCCTCGCCGCGTTAGACGCCGCAGGCTGCCACCCACTCGCCTCCTCCTCTTCCTCCCCACCACCTTCACACTCCCTCACACCCTCCTCCCTCCACTCCTCCCCCCACTCCTCCCCCCACTCTCCCCCCTCCTCCCCGCGCCTCTTTCTCGACGTAAACCTCCCCCTCTGCCTTTGGGCCTCCCGGGCCTCAGCCTTGGCAGCGCTGGATCCGGTTTGGCGCCGAGCCTCGGTGGTAGAGGTGTCCCGTGCGGAAGCTGAGTTCCTGGTTGGGGAGGAGCGGTTTTTTGCGGCGGCGGCAGGCTCGGGTGCGATATGCTTCGGACTCGTACCTGACGCTGAGGGGGGAGAGGGAGGAGGGGGAGGGCGAGGGCGTGTATCACTGGAAGCCGGAGGAACTGGCTGGGCTGTGGCATGACGGCATGGAGTTGCTGTTGGTTACCCATGGCACCATGCAGGTATGACAGGATGGAAGGTTGGAAGCATTGAAGTATGCAGGTATGAGGTCAGGGGTAGAAGGGGGAGGGCGTGTATCACTGGAAGCCAGAGGAACTGGCTGGGCTGTGGCATGACGGCATGGAGTTACTGTTGGTGACTCATGGCACCATGCAGGTATGAAGAAAATGCTTTGTAGGACCATGGAAGAGAGAAGTTAAGCGTTGTTGTGTGCAGATGGGTATGGAAATGGCACTGTGCAGGTATGGCAGCATGGGGGTGCATATGTGTTTCTCCATGTCGAACGGGGGAATTGCTTGGCATGGCATGGCATGGCATGGCATGGCATGGCATGGAATGGCATGGCATGGAATGGCATGGCATGGCATGGCATGGCACGGCAGTTCAATGCAGGTTCACTCTCCTGAAGGTTTATTGTTCATGAATTTCCTGATTCCACCCGCTCCTCCCTGCCAGGTCCATTACTATGGAAGGGGCTTTCACGGATGGGTGGAGGGCACAGAGGACGTGCTGATTGCTGCCATGACGTGCGACCGAGCTGGGTCGGGGGATGCCCTTGTGGCAGGTGAGTGGTCCTTGTAACAAGTGCGTATACAAAGGAGGCACTGGATGGAAGGGGGAAGTGTGGGTGGAGGGCACAGAGGACGTGCTGATCGCCGCCATGACCTGAGACCGAGCTGGGTCGGGGGATTGTATCAACAGAGATTGAAAGGGGAAGATCGGGGAATGGGGAAGGAGGGGAAAGGGAGAGCAGTGGGTGGAGGGCACATAAGACGTGCTGATTGCTACAAAGATCGAGCGTGGTCGGGTGATGCGCTTATGGCAGGTGTGTTCTTATATGATTAAAAGGGGGAGCCAAGGGGGACTGTTAAGGAGGGGTAAAGGAGTGGAGTGGGTCGAAGGAACAGAGGATGTGCTTATTGATAGCAGTATGACATGGCATCTATGATTCTTTTGAGGCGCCTCAAAAGGAACAGAGGATGTGCTTATTGATAGCAGTATGACATGGCATCTATGATTCTTTTGAGGCGCCTCAAAAGGAACAGAGGATATGCTTATTGATAGCAGTATGACATGGCATCTATGATTCTTTTGAGGCGCCTCAAAATGAACAGAGGATGTGCTTATTGATTGCAGTATGACATGGCATCTATGATTCTTATCCCCGACTGCCCTCGTTCTGTGCCTCCTTTCACCCTCCCCCTTTCTCACCACCCGTACAATTCCCCTCCGCCAGGTCTCCTGCGCAAGCTCTCCACCAACCCCTCTATTCTAAGCGACCCCGATGCGCTGGAGAGGGCCATTCGCTTTGCCATTTCCGCCGGAGTGATCTCCTCGTGGACTACCGGGGCTGTCAGGAGCTTTCCCTCCGAGGAAGCCGCGCAGAACCTCACCGAGCAAATGTTTTTGCCTTCCATGATTTGAGCTAAACGTAATGGTTACTTGAATGCTAAAAATCCCCTATCCAGGAAATTTTCCCATTCCTTTGGAATTACATCCCATCAATAACGAATCCATTTGACATCTTCGCCTCGAGCAGTCGTCAAGGAATTTTTCCAAGCATTGGGCTATCACCTGCTCAGATAAGAAAATGTGTGGTGCAAATATTGTCACCGAAGCCCAAATAAAGACTAACGAATCGCGTTTTGTAACGATCTCAGCTGCTTGTAATGGAGCGTCGCTAGTAGTGCAATCACTGTCCGCACCTCCACCTTTCGCGCCAAAAGGTGACAGGTCTGCCCGCCCAGCTGTACACATCACATCAAGCAGCTGTTGCCGAACCAAAACATTTTTAACTTTTGATTGCACAAGTTTTGAAGCTCTTGCAGTTTTGAGCATTTCTTCATTCATCTGCAAATGGTTGCAGTTCATCAGTTTTATCGCACTTTGGCTATCTTATTGTCCCTGAACAAATCTCCCAATTCCCATGTGGGCAGCGTATTTGAATTTACGAGATCGCACCTAACCCGGTTTCGTCCAATCGGAGAACGCCTCTCCCATACCGACTCCCATACCTCAGCTGTGTTCCCCCCTCGCCCCTCATAGCTCGTGTCTAGATTGGTTGTCGTCAGTCCTGCGAGTGGTGTGAGGTGGCTAGTGAGTGGTGCGGTGATGCCTCCGTATGGTCGCGTTATAGACGTTTATTTCTCGCGTTATTTCTCGGTTCATCAAGCGACTCGAGACGTGGCCTCTCTAGTTTCAGTTCGTCTGTACAGTTCGTTTGGGAGGAAGAGAAGAACCCTTGGGAAGAGCGTGTATGCGTTATAGCGCGTAGCGTCATGCCTAAGTCAACCTAGAATGACTTCCGTTGCGCCTTACGTAGCCGTTATTATTAATGTTATTATGACGTAGGGGCGGGTCAGGACAATGTCCCTCGCAGTGGCCCATAGCGGCCCGGTCTGCGCGATTAAAGCCGCTCGCGAAGCGACGTCGCAGAATCGACGCTTTCCTCCCTCGTCGGCTAAAATATCCGCGTTCGAGCCTCCGCCAAACCGCGCGAAATGCCTCGGTCCGAGCCTCAGGTTACGGCTCGGACCGAACCTTGGGACGCCCCTCAAGCCTTCTTCTTCCAAGCCTCTCCGCGCTCGACCCAGGAGCTCGGTGATCGTGCGAGCCGCGACGGACTTGTACCAAACCCTCGGAGTCCCTTATACCGCGAACAAACAGGAAATAAAGAAGGCGTTTCGAGAAATGGCAAGAAAGGTGCGCGAAATAGAGACAGGGACAGCCGCCAGTACTTATTGCGTCGCTTTTTATGGCTGCGACGCGTCGCATTGCGCTTTCGCCCCTTTCCGTGTATCCCCATTTTCTCCTCGCAATCGACTCACACCCCCCTCCCCTGTCCTGTTCCCTCCCCTGCCGTTCCCCCTTTCCCCCTATCCTCCCTCGCAGTATCACCCGGACGTGTCCCATGCCTCAGGTTCGGGCCGAGCCTTCCAGGCCATAGTGACGGCGTACGAGGTGCTGTCAGACGACCAGCAGCGACGCCTCTACGACCTTAGCATCCAACGCGCTGCGACTTCTAGTCGCGCTGCTGCTGCGAGTCGCGCTGCTGGGAGTCGCGCGGCTGCTAGTCGCGGCGCTACAGTTGCTCGCGGCGCGTTTGTTCGTGTTGCTGGTGTTCCCACTCGCAGCTCCGCGCGGCATTGGTCGTCCGTGTCATCTGCCACGTCGGCACACGGATCATCTGTCAGGTCAGCTTCAGAAGCACCACCGTATTCCAACATTAAAAAAAAAAAAAAAAAAAAAAAAACACACACACACACACACACACACACACACACACACACACACACACACACACACACACACACACACACACACACACACACACACACACATTTCACGTTTTTGTTGCCCTTATGACCCCAATTATCACCCCATACTTTACCCTACTCGTTAATTCGTTCTCTCCTCCCCTACCACCACACCAGCTTCGACCCTTTTGACAGGGCGTTCTCAGCCTCGGTACGGCCCTCCGCCGAGCCTGGCCCAGGTTCGGCCCGAGCCTCATCCTCGGAGTGCCCGATCTTCTCGGCATGGTACCTGCGGTGGCTGTTCCATGCGCGGTGGGCGCTGGCAGTGCAGCAGCGGGCACGGCGGGCCGCTGAGTTCAAGAGGAGAGGAGGAGCTTGGCAGGCTGCTGAGTTTGAAACCAGGAGAGGCATGAGCAGCAGGATACATGAGGAGCAGGAGGAGCAGAGACACGCGGGGCAGGATGCAGGAATGAGCAGAAGGAGGAGACCGGAGCAGGGTGGATCACATCCGTTGGTGGAGCAGGGGGGCCTGTTGGAGGCAGATGCGTACAATTCGGGATGGGTGGCTGCTGCTGCTGCTTCTGCTGCTGCTGCTGCTGACACCGGCGGTGCTGTTGCTGCGGCAGCTGCGGGTAGTTCAGGAGGAGCGGAGCAAGAGGCAACACTGCAAGGAGAGAAGTATTTTGGAGGCAGTAGGCAGCTGCGGGGCGAGCCTCGTCTCCATCACGCACCCGCCTCTCCCGCCTCGTCTCCCGAATCCGCTGCTGCTGCTGGTGGTTCTGCCCAGCACTCTAAAGCTTCAACCCTTCCTCTGGCTTCACATGCCCGTTTATTCCTCTCTTTCCTCTGCCACGCGCCTTCCTCTCTCCTCCACATCCTCCTCTCCCCGCTCCAGCCGGAGTGGCGGGCGTCTTTTGGCTCAGACCTCGTTTTCATCCTCGTTAGTGTCATCCTCGGTGTTCTTTATGGTACCAACGCTACTGTAGCATGGCTGTCGTTGGTCCTTATCCTCTCTGCGAACACAAGGCTCGGGCTGAAGGTCGCTGCAGCTGTCGCGTGGAGGCTTGGGGGAATGCCGGGCCTGTGGATCGGCGTGGGGCTGCATGCCTTGTCGTTTTTGCTGGGAATTGTGCATCATGAGGCGGTGGGAGCTTTGGCATTTGTTGTGTGGATGGGACGGCAGATCGGACAGGGGATGGGACAGGGGATGGGCGGTGGAATGGCATTGGCGCCGGCTATTCTGGTGTATTTTGTCTACAAGTGTTTGGAATTGGTTGAGATTATGTGGTTAGAATGGAGGCCATGGGTTAGCAAGAAGTGGGATATTTTTTCAAGCAGCTTTCGCCGATGGGAAGTGTATGTGGAGGAAAGTGGTGAAATAGTATATGCTAGCACTATTAGAGAGGATGTAACATCTAACAGGAGCATGGCTCCCTTATAGAATATGGTAGTGAAATTGCAGTGTTAATGTGCAGCAACGTAGTTGCTCTTGTTTATATTTATTCATTCAAATTTCGTGCAGCTGTACTTGTTCTCAACTTGGTTGTGTTTGAGGTTTGGATGGAGTCTTATCTTCCTGGTAAATAAGAGGGGTTGATTTCTTTAAAATTTCACATCGGCGGGTTTATCCTATTTTAGCGGGTACAAAATGCATGAAATCCCACCATCGAGAGAAATGCCCCACATTCCTCCTTCCCGTCGCTTTCGCCCCACATCATCCGCCGCGTTACACGGCGAGACCAAAGCGGAACAGTGCAATTCCCAGAAGATCGGAAAGAAAGTTCTCGCCGATTGACCTTACTTGTTCTTGTCGATGTGGCGTCGACGCTCCTAGCAGAGCAGATTCACCGTGAATTTCATCTTTGAGGCCCCTCAAAAGCTGCATCCATTCTTTCCCGATGTGGCGACGGTGCTCCTAGGAGCATCACCGCGAATTTAAACTTGGAGGAGGACAGTAAGGAAGAAAGAGCAGAAAGGGAGGAGGGGGAAGAGAGGGCGGAGGGGACGGAGGGGGCGGAGAGGGCGGAGAGGGAAATATGGGGGAGGACGACGGCTCTCCGTCTATCGCGGCGGAATTTGAGGGCTACGCGCGAGTTCTAGACGAAATGGTGCGTTGAGGTAGTGGGTGCAGCGGGGATTCGGGCGGTGCGGGCGATCCTTGCGATCAATCCGAGCAAGCAGGGTTTCGGGTGTGCTGAGTCGATTTTTGAGTCGACTCAAAAATCGACTCAATCCGAGCAAGCAGGGTGTCTGGTGCGCCTGAGCTTTTCACGCTCGGAACGTGGTCAACCGCGCCACCGGAAAGTGGGCAGTCGTGCGGTCATGAGGGAATTCGAGCAACGCATCTGGAAGATGCTCGACGGCGAGCGACGCAAGATCGTCGAGAAGGAGATCACTGTGCAGCACCTCGAGGTGCGATCTCACATGCAGCAAGAAGATCACACCTCGAGGTGCTGCACAATGATTTCCTTCTTGATTTCTTTGTTGCACCTGGTTGACTTATTCCTTCTTATCTCACCTCCTTCCATTTGCATCACATCGCGCTTGCAGAACGAGCGGAGGGAAAGACTGGTGAAGGCGAGCAGGGACGTGACTATACAGAGCAAGAAGATCATCTTCGCCATCCACAGGTGCGACGTGGCACATGCTGACGTGGCATTCTGACGTGGCATGGTACGGTTTCTGCCACGTCATCAACATTGATCGGCCTTTATGATCCATCTCCCTCACTGCTCTTCTCCACTCCCCTTGCACGCCCCGCCACCCCCATCCATCTGCCTCCCTTGGGCCTTCCTCCGCCCCTCCTCCCTCTGTGTCTCAGGGTCACTACCCCTGATGCCCTAACAGCAGCAGCGCAGCAGCTGGCATGTCTACGCGCCCACCACATCGCCCAGGTGGCTCTTTTTGAGGCGCCTCAAAAATTGGCAGCCCACCACATCGCCCAGGTGGCTCGTGAGGCACCCAACCCCAACCCCCCCTGCTACACCCCCCACCCCTCTCCACCACTCTCCACCTCTCTCCACCCCTCTCCACCCCCTTGTCCTCTCAGAGCCACTACTCCTCATGCGCTGGCAGCAGAAGCGCAGCAGCTGGCGGCCCTACGCACACACCACATCGCCCAGGTGGCTCGCGAGCTGCAAGCAGTGGACTACTGGCGCTTCACACGCGCTTACACGTGGGGGGTGGGTGGAGGAGGGATGGGATGGGATGGGATGGGATGGGATGGGATGGGATGGGATGGGATGGGATGGGATGTGGTGGAGTTGGATGGGTGAGGTGGGCATGGGCGCCCAGGTGGCTCAGGAACTGAGTGCAGAGGACTACTGGTGCTTCACATGCGCTTACATACACGTGGGGGGTGGGTGAAGAGGGGAGGGGCTCGTGAGATGGGATGGGTTTGGATGGGTTGGGATGGGTAGAGGGCACTGCATCCCATCAGTGCTCAGGGAACCCCTGGCATACCGTCTCAGCACTTTTTCTTCTCCTCCTCCTTTTTTTTTGTTTTTTTTTTTATTTTTTTTTCCCGTTTTGGTGCTGCAAGATTCTCCTACGTTGGAGACGTCTTTTCCACCTGCGCTCCACTCTTGACCTTCTACCCTTTCCCTCATATCTCCCTTTCCCTCATATCTCCCTTTCCCTGATTCCACGGCAGTTGCAAGAGTATGTGGAGGCAGCGTCGTTCCTGCACTTCCGCCAAACAGGCCGTTTGCTGACGCTGGCGCAGGTGAGATAAAGACGGGCGCTGGGGATGAGGTGGTGGAGCGGTGGAGGGGCGGTTGGGGAGCGGTGGAGGGGAGGGGGGGGATCTTTCTAGTGTGCCCTTCTTCCTCTGCGTCTCTCCCCCATACATCCAGCCCTGCATGAGCTGTGAGAAGGGGAAGGAGCTCTGCATCCAGCTGTGCATGAGCTGTGAGAAGGGGAAGGAGCTCTGCATCCAGCTGTGCATGAGCTGTGAGAAGGGGAAGGAGCTCTGCATCCAGCTGTGCATGAGCTGTGAGAAGGGGAAGGAGCTCTGCATCCAGCTGTGCATGAGCTGTGAGAAGGGGAAGGAGCTCTGCATCCAGCTGTGCATGAGCTGTGAGAAGCGGAAGGAGCTCTGCATCCAGCTGTGCATGAGCTGTGAGAAGGGGAAGGAGCTCTGCATCCAGCTGTGCATGAGCTGTGAGAAGGGGAAGGAGCTCTGCATCCAGCTGTGCATGATCTGTGAGAAGGGGAAGGAGCTCTGCATCCAGCTGTGCATGAGCTGTGAGAAGGGGAAGGAGCTCTGCATCCAGCTGTGCATGAGCTGTGAGAAGGGGAAAGAGCTCTGCATCCAGCTGTGCATGAGCTGTGAGAAGGGGAAAGAGCTCTGCATCCAGCTGTGCATGAGCTGTGAGAAGGGGAAAGAGCTCTGCATCCAGCTGTGCATGAGCTGTGAGAAGGGGAAAGAGCTCTGCATCCAGCTGTGCATGAGCTGTGAGAAGGGGAAAGAGCTCTGCATCCAGCTGTGCATGAGCTGTGAGAAGGGGAAGGAGCTCTGCATCCAGCTGTGCATGAGCTGTGAGAAGGGGAAGGAGCTCTGCATCCAGCTGTGCATGAGCTGTGAGAAGGGGAAGGAGCTCTGCATCCAGCTGTGCATGAGCTGTGAGAAGGGGAAGGAGCTCTGCATCCAGCTGTGCATGAGCTGTGAGAAGGGGAAGGAGCTCTGCATCCAGCTGTGCATGAGCTGTGAGAAGGGGAAGGAGCTCTGCATCCAGCTGTGCATGAGCTGTGAGAAGGGGAAGGAGCTCTGCATCCAGCTGTGCATGAGCTGTGAGAAGGGGAAGGAGCTCTGCATCCAGCTGTGCATGAGCTGTGAGAAGGGGAAGGAGCTCTGCATCCAGCTGTGCATGAGCTGTGAGAAGGGGAAGGAGCTCTGCATCCAGCTGTGCATGAGCTGTGAGAAGGGGAAAGAGCTCTGCATCCAGCTGTGCATGAGCTGTGAGAAGGGGAAGGAGCTCTACATCCAGCTGTGTATGAGCTGTGAGAAGGGGAAGGAGCTCTGCATCCAGCTGTGCTCACCGTTCCCCTTCTCACACTGCCTCCCTGCCCACGCAACTCTTCTTACTCTGCTCTCTCTCTCTCTCTCTGCACTCTGCTCGCGCAGGTGAACGGTGCATTTGAGGGCATCTTGGACCGGGATGGCCGCCCCTTCCACGTGCATGCTGCAGACTATGTGCTGGGAGTGAGTGAGGGACGGAGAGGTGAGGAAACCAGTGAGTGCTGGGGGTGAGATGGGAGAGGGTGCGAGAGAAAGAAGGTGGTTAGGCCGGCCCTTCCATGTGCATGCTGCAGACTATGTGCTGGGGGTGAGTGCGGGAGGGCGAAGAGGGGTTGCGCGTGGGGGGTTGTTAGTGGGTGATGATAGTTGAGGTGATAGTAGGAGCGGCCCTTCCACGTGCATGCTGCGGGCTATGTGTTGGGAGTCAGTACAAGGGGGTGAGGGAGGGAGTGAGAGAGTGAGGGAGTGAGAGAGTGAGGGAGTGTGGCATTATTTGTGGGTAAGTGGTCTGTCCGTGAGTGGATTAGTCTTCGAGAGGAGTATCCGAATATTACACCACAAAATATGGATATATGTACGTGTATAATACGTCAACCCCTTCCCTCTCCTCTCCTCCAGCTGGCTGATTTGACCAGTGAAGTAATGAGGCTAGCTGTGTCCAGCCGTGCTGCTGCTGCTGCTAGATTCCCCCTCCCCCCCCACTCCCCCCACTCCCCGCCCTCCCCTCCCTCCCGCATCCAGCTAGCAGATCTGACGGGTGAAGTAATGAGGCTAGCTGTGTCCAGCCGTGCTGCTGCTGCTGGTGACGGTGCTGGTGCTGGTGCTGATGCTGGTGGTGCTGCAGGCGGTAATGAGGGATCCAACCGGAAGGGGTACAACAAAAGAGGGAAGAGGCCACGGGAGAAAACCGAGGCTCGATTGGAGACTCGAGACACCGAACCTGCTGCTGCTGCTGCCGAGCCTGCTGCTGCTGCTGCCAAGCCTGCTGCTGCTGCCGAGCCTGCCGCTACTGCTGAGCCTGCGGCAGAGTCCGGGGAGGGCGGAGGAGCAGCAGTGGAGGTGGATGCGGATGCATGTCGGTTGTTCGTGCAGAGACTGGTTGGGGTGGGGGGAGCAGCAGCAGTGGAGGTGGATGCAGATGCATGTCGGTTGTTCGTGCAGCGGCTGTATGCGGGATTCAGCTTGCTGCCGAGGAGCAGCGAGCTGGGCAAGGAGATGGGGAAAAAGATGGACGTCATGCTGGCGAGCCTCAACAAGATTAAGAACGGGGAGGAGGTGTGTGAATGGGTTCCTGGGCGTGTGAGGGGGGTCCTGGACAATAGAGGGTGTTCGTGCAGAGACTGGTTGGGGTGGGGGGAGGAGCAGCATTGGAGGTGGATGCGGATGCATGTCGGTTGTTCGTGCAGCGGCTGTATGCGGGATTCAGTCTCCTCTCGAGGAGCAGCGAGCTGGGCAAGGAGATGGGGAAGAAGATGGACGTGATGCTGGCGAGTCTCAACAAGATTGAGAACGGTGAGGTTGGGTTCCTGGGTGTGTGAGGGGGTTCTTGGACTGAAAGGGTTATTCGTGCAGCGGGTGTATGCGGGGTTCAGTCTCCTCCTGAGGAGCAGTGAGCTGGGCAAGGAGACGGGGAAGAAGATGGACGTTATGGTGGCGAGTCTCGACAAGATTGAGAACGGTGAGAGGGCGTATGAAGGGGTTCCTGGGTGTGTGACGGGGTTCTTAGGCCTGAACGGTGTGACGGGGCATGAAGGATGAGCGGATTTGGCTCCTCCCTTCCACTTCCCTGTTCTCCTGCCCCTTTTGCACGCACACCCCTTTTGGTATTCCTCTTGCACCCCTCCCCTTCTCCTACACTCGTTTTGTGGCCCCTACCCCAACCCCTCCTACCCTTCCCAGTGTCATACACTCGTTTTGTGCGAGGTTCTGAGTACCCGGAAGAATTTCTGCAGCTGGGACTGGAGGGGAAGGAGGCAGGAGCAGAAGGGGAATGAAGGATGTACATGAGTGGTATAAATGAGTGAATGAAAGTAGTTGGTGTGAGTGGTGGTGGTGGTGGTGATCTGATTAGATGCTTGCACATTCACTCCGGTACAGTATTTGTCGCATGTAAAGATTGCTGAGCTTGAAGGGGACTTCATACTAGTGGTGCTGCAGATTAGGGAGGGCTGTGATGTATATTGTAGTGAGAAGAAATGTTATTGTTGTATAAAGCAGGTTGGAATGGAGGTGTCAGCACAATTTGTTGTTTTTTGTGCATAAACATATGATGGATTATTGTTCCACAATGCTCTGTTCAGTAAACGTGTATTATATATCATTTACAGGCATAGCAACTTTATTCCCTAACCATACACAACAGCAATATTGACGCGCTATATACAAAATCTTGTCAAACCCATACGCAACAAGCACAAACCCCATACCAAGCTATACAAATGCATACCACCAACCGCCCACAATATTTGTATGCCGGCCCATATCCACCTCCCCTCACACCACCCTACTTCAACCCAGTAACTCCATCAAGCAGCATTGCTGCCACTCCTACCACCCCCATGTCCCTCCACCTTCCCATCATCACTCCATGTCTCCCACGCCTGCCACCATCACACCCCTCCCACCATCACTCAACGTCAGCATGCACTTAGTCCCGGTGAACAAACTGCGGTTCAAGCCCATACTTGAGCCAAGCAGCACCTGCCAGCGCCGCCAGCGCCCCCACTGCTAGCCCTGCCTTGCCTCCAACGCCCACCACCGCCTCCCCCAATCATCACTCCACATCAGCATGCACATAGTCCAAGTGACCAAACTGCGGTTCAAGCCCATACTTGAGCCAAGCAGCACCTGCCAGCGCCGCCAGCGCCCCCACTGCTAACCCTGCCTTACCTCCAACCCCCACCACCTCCCCAGGTACCACCGCTGCTGCAGCAAGCAACACTGCCGCTGCCCCTGCCAGCACAGCAGCCAGCCTCCTCACATTTTTCAAAGCTGCCCGGCAGGAGGAGCATTTTTCCGTGTGCTGCCCGAGCCGGTCGAGCATTTCTGCCCGGGACAGAACCGTGGACGGGAGAGGTGCGGCGCCTCCCGGACCTGCGGTTAGGCTCGGATCCCAAGCTGGTTCGCCGCCGCCGTACCTAAGAAGCCAGTTCCGAAAAGCCAGAACCATCCTGTCAGCAGCAGCAGGCGTGTATCTCAGCTTACTATACGGCACTCCACCCCCTCCTCCTCCCCCTCCGCCTCCTCCTCCCCCCTTCAGAACCTCTCCTGACCCTGAAGCACAATCATATCTCCATCGTAGATCAGATTTGATGTCAGATGCTCCAGCCACCGAGGGTACAGCTGCCACCATTTACCCCCGGGAACAGTCAGCCGGGCGAAATTCCTCGCACTGCACACAATAGATCGCGTTTTACCAGGGCCCATGGGGACGTTAAAGGAGCAGATCCACAGCTGCCAGTGCTGCCTGCCTATAACGGGGATGGTTGGGAAGAGGTCGATTCGGCTGAAGAAAGAGCAAGGAGCCATGAACCAGGAGGAAATCTGAGCGGTTGAGCCGTTGTCAGCAGGGGTGGTATCGGGTGTGCTTGTGTCGGTGCTCTTAGCGGGTGTGTTTGTAGCCAATGTGCTTGTATTGGTAGTTGCTGCGAACCCGAACGGTCCACTGGATGTAATAGTGAAGGGCAGTGGCTTGGCTCGGTCCCTGCGCCCTGTAACCTGTGAACAGGGTAACCAGGAGCAACGAGAGGGGCAGGAGCAAACTGTCAGTCTAGATTACACTAGCAGAAGCCAAAAAAAAGGTAGGACAATTGAACCTATCAGTGGTTGCTTTCATTCGCCATGACTCAGTTTACTTAAAAGTGGCATCTGACAGAGTTGCAAAAAGTACAACCGTGTAAGTAATGCCATCTAACGCGTATACAGTGTATTTCGTACCTTGTGATGCGCGAATTCGATATGGGAAGGGTCAGACACGTTCTCCATGAGCGTATCGAATCCGTAGTACAGGTCCCTCTGTATAGTCACACTCGAAAACCCCTCGTCTTCAAACACGTCAAGCAATCACGGCGGCTCGACAGCTAGAGCCTCCCCCCATCGCCCCTCCTCCGGCCACACGAACAGAAGCCCTTGGGAAACCAGGGCCGGGTACGACGCTACGCAGGCTCGGGACGATGAACAGGCTCGGGATTCCGGGCCTGTGTCCGAGGCTTGGGGGATAACCGCGCAGGTTCCGTCGCCTCGGAACGACCAGCCGTGGTACGGGCACTGTAGCAATCCATTCTCGTCCAATCGGCCTTCGGAAAGCGGCGCGAGGCGGTGCGGGCAGCGGTCCGCGTGCGCACGCCATATGCCCTGCGAGTCGCGCCAGATCACCAAGTCGCGGCCTAGGAGCTGGAACGAAGTCGGGCGGCTCGGGTCGAGGTCTTCGATTAAAGCCACAGGGTACCAGTACTTCTCCCACACGAACTCGTCACGCGATTTTATCTCCGGGTCAAACAAGTCGTCGAGAGTCTTCGTGTCTCCTTCCCCCAAATTGCGCTCTCCAGCGGGGGTGACAGAAGTTCCGCCCAGAGCCTTGGCTGGCCCTTCTAAGGGCGCGGGATCCGGGGGGGTTGCGAGGGCGCAAGAGATGGCGGGAGGTCGGCGGAAGCTCCGCGCGCAGCTACCGCCAGCGCCGGAAGGCCGCCAAACTCTGCGCGGAGTCAACGATCTGCGCGCCGAACTGGAATAATTCCTCCCAGAAACGCCAGAGACACTGTGAAGGCGCGCGAGCGACGAGGGTTGCCTACGACAGGCGCGCACAGGCGACGGTGAGACGAGCGCCACAAACGGTGACGGAGCTTTCGTCGCCAGCCTAGTTGAAGTAGCAGTGAGAGCACTCGCGCTTGCGTCCATTCCAGTGCGGCTTCAGTGTTCCGCAACTTGAGTGCGAGAGTGTCTAATGCTATCTCGAATTCGGCGCGTCAAAAGAAGATTATCGAGATGAATCAGAGAAGCCTCAGTGGCGTCAGACAAACTAATACAGTGCACAGTTACTCGACATAAACAGCGTCACGAGCCACTACGCGGCTCCTGCGGCGAGCTTGGGAGGGGAAGGCACGACTCGTCAGACGATTATTTATAATAGCTTCTGCGCGGCTGATATACCCGCAGGGTGCTGCATCGTAGAAGCAGCGGGGGACGAGTTCAAGGCGTACTGGAAGAATCGAGAGATGTCGCATGAATCTGTAGGTCACAACTTGGCCGGAGGGACGCGCCATGGCGACTACGGAGTCGGTGCTTTCGAGGCCGACAAAACGGAAGCTACGAAGGGCGGTCGAGTACCCAAATCAACACGTCATACACATGCTAAAAGGCGATGTGCGGACGCTAGTCAGCTGGACAACTGAGCTGGAAACACGAAGAAGAGGAATGGAAACTCTGCTCCGCATCTGAGCTGGATATGCCTCAATCAGAGAATGACGCGAAATCCCCAAAAAACCTTCGATACAGCTGAGGCAAGACGGATACGAGAGAGGGATAGTACAAGACCCGCTCCCTCGACTCTCTCGAGGCGCAGAAATGCGCGGTGCGAATAACGAGCATCGAGAAATGTATGTTGCGGTTAAGTCCGGTTGGGCAGAGCTGAGGTAAAGGTGCGTGCGAGTGTGCTGGCATCGCCGAGTCCTGCATGTCGAAGACGGTTGGACAGCCGGATTGTGGTGCGACGCTGGCCCGTCCACGTCGGTGAGTTTGGGGGAATGGGATGGGATAGTGCTACATTTTGAAATTGCTCATTAGCAAACCTTGATTTTGAAGAAGTGTACATGAATGGTCCTGAGGAGTACAAGTGCCAACTCCACACACGAGCGTCATAGCCATGAATAACTGGAAAATATTCTGTATAATGCAAAATTCGAAAAATAACTAATTTTAAGAAGCTCTTGGAGGAGGTGAAACTCAAGCTGTATACATAGTCACCTTATTATCTGATTAAATATATATTGAGATTTTTTATATCTTTGTGGTTAAATTAGATCTATCAACTGTTAATAAGCAATTAAATTACATTTTCTTTCGCTCCCACATAAGCAATTTCTATTGTTTTCCTTGCTTAAAATAGTCTGATATTATGGTAGTCAGATGCCCATTATCCATGTACCTTATTTCATCATCCACCCCGTCCCTGAGGCAATCTACCTACCCCATCCCCCCCCAGGGATCGGACCAGCAGCACCTTTCTTGCCTGCATGTGTCCATGCTCGTGATTGACAGGTTTGGTACTTGCCCTGAAAAACGCTGACCTAGAAGGCTGTTTCAAACCAAATTCTTTCAGGTTATACTTCGCACTGGCACGGGTACCCCCCCTCTTCACTTTTTGTTCAGATATCGGCACGTCCAGAATTGAAACCGGGTGAAGTGTGATATATTCTCCAGCCTTTGAAAATTATGGGCGTTTTGAGACGTCGTTCAGGGTCCGAAACGGTGCCAGAATACATCCGTCCCGTTCAGGCCAAATTTCCCTTCCGACAATACCGCTGGGGCTTCACATTCAGCTTTCACATTCAGCTCTCACATTCAGGTAGCCGAAGGTCCTAGAGAAACCAGAAGCTAGCTTCTAGCCTGACGTGGCTTGACCATGCGCCCAGGGTATGCTCGCTTTCGTATGAAAATCTCGGAACTAGCAGCGCCGAACACGGTCAGTGGTTAGGAATTATTACTCTCTCGCGCTTAGTAGCGCAGTTTTGAACGGTGATAATAAACCAGGCAGCAGTTTTTTTGTCCCTGACAGTACAGGTGGTTATTTGGGGGTCGGGGGTGTGGTTCTTTGTAGAAGCGGTTAGCTGTAGTAGCAAGTCACAGCTTATTCGAGCTATCGCGGTCGAGCAGGATAGCTCGTAACAGCTTAGTTACCGAGAATAAACGTACGGCTACGATCGCGCTTGAGGAGATGGCGACGGAGAGGGAGCATCACATCCGTCGGATGGACCGGAACATTTTCGGCCTGCTTGAGAAACACCGGCTCGACTCGCGCGAGGTGTGCAACTGCTTCGAGATTAGCTTGTTTGACGCTTAGCATGAATCGAGTCGCTTCATACTCGCTATGCGACTCCAAAGCAACTCCAGTATTTTGGTGAACGTTAGTATTTTAATTATCTTTTTTTTTTTTTTTTGGCATCCTTACACGTGTGGTTGTGTCGGGTATGTCTTCCTTAGTCCAAGCATGATCCCGTGCTCCGGATGGATTAGTTTCTTATGTTCTTAATGGCTCGCCTGGCATTCCTGCCTGTGTGGCTACCTGCGTGGCTGTTTCAGGTGCCTCCGCCTTACTACGAGCATGAATTCATGGGACGGATGCATTCGTTTTTGCTATTTTAATCATTCCCACCTGTGTGACTATCTGCGTGGCTGTTTCAGGTGCCTCCGCCTTACTGCGAGCATGATTACGCGCGCCGAATGCAGTTCCACCCCTCGTTAGTGTCGCGCCTTGCTTTGGAGACCGTTATGGAGGTTGGTGTTGGGTTGGGTGGGCTTGTGAAATATAAACTGTTGGGTTGCTTCTGCGTTGTTGCGTTAGAATTAAGCAAGCCCTTGTCTTTTTTTCAAAAGCCTTCTGTTTCGCTTGTTAGTGTCGTTGTCACTCAGAGAAGACCAAGTTGCTTTGAAGTAGCTCCTTTTTTAGCTTTTTTGCTTCCATGTAACTAAGCTTGTATCTCATTTTCTTGTGATGCTTGCATGACATTTCACAGTGTGCTTGTATTTCCTTGTTCCTCTATGTGTCACATCACACTCCCTGAATCCGAATCCAAACCCGAATTTCCTCCTTCAGGGTCATCGGGGGTGTGTGAACGCAATAGCATGGAATCGATCCGGCTCTCTCCTTCTCTCCGGTTCTGACGATTTTATGGTAAGAAAAGCTTATACCCCCAAGGTTTTCCTGGGGTTGATGGGGGGGATTGGGGGTGGGGGAGTCTGACGACTGATGGCGAATTTGTTCGTCGCTTACATTTCTAATGCTGCTTCCGTCCCGTCTCAGTGTGTGGACTGATCGATTACATCTGATTATGCAGCATTTCACATTCTGTAATACATTTACGTTGTTCTTGTCGTTTTCCTTTTATATCATGTTGAGCTAAAAGCACTGTTCTGACCCACCTTGTTCCCTAATTATGTGATCACGACTTCTAGTCTGTAGTTTCCTTCATTCTACCGCTGCTCCTCCATCCACATGGGAGGATGTGTGTGCACCGGCCTGGCTTGTAGGCTGCATTTACTGGAATGCTACTGTCATGCCATCCAGTGAAGAAGTTACATCTTCTTCATACGTCATCCTCTTGACTGCCCCTCCCAAGCTCTTCCTCCCCCCCCCCACCCACACGACCCCCTTCCTCCACCGCTCTTATGCATTCACAAGAGGTAAGTTTAATATTCCTTGACCTTTCTATGTCCCCACTTTCTCCTCCCCCCTTTTCCACTCCGCAGGTGAACGTGTGGGACTACAGCTCGCGGCAGTTGCTGCATTCAGTGGACTCGAGCCACTCAAGCAACATCTTCTGTGTGCGTTCTCCCTCCCTCTGTCTCACTGTCTCTTCCCATCGCTCCCTCCACTTCATCTCTCCCCCCTGCACAGGTGAACGTGTGGGACTACAGCTCGCGGCGGCTGGTTCACTCAGTGGACTCGGGCCATTCAGGCAACATCTTCTGTGTGCGCTTCATGCCCGAGACGGGGGATGATGTGTTAGCCTCTGGCGCTGGCGACAATGAGGTGAGAGGGTGGGGGGGAGGGGACAGGACATTAGGTAGGAAGGGGATGAGAAAAAGCTCTGCCTCTTGTCACTGAATGAAATGGCGCTGAGAGTGAGAAGGGAGACGAGGGAGACTAGAGGAGAGAGGCAGAAATGACTGAAAGCAGTAGCATTCACACGGGAAGAGGATGGAGCTGCTGCAGGAGTGGAATGGGGCAAGGGGGAAGAGGGGTTGGCGAGGTTCAATCACCACTGGGCCTAACAGGGCCTGCTATGCTCGAAATCGAAGTGTGAAGCAAAAATTAACCGCCTAAGAATGTCGAAAGTGGGATTTGAACCCACGCCCTTTCGGACTGGAACCTTAATCCAGCGCCTTAGACCAGGACTTCATTTACAATATTCCTAGGTACATGGGTTTGTAGTATTTACAGTATGTACAAGAAAGTTCTATCTATGAAACGAAGGAGGTATGTACAAGACAGAAAATGACAGGATGATGATGATGTGTGGGTGATGGTTGACAGGTGAAAATGACATAGGTAAGTGCTTGAGTAAAGACAAGGACTTAAAAAGACAAACAGGTGATAACAGGACAAACAGGTGATGACAGACTGAAAAAGAACAGAACATGACAGACATGACAGACATACGACCAGCAACGCACACATGGCACTCACATGTGATGACTCAGGAAAGACACGACTCATGGCATTGCACATGCAACTAGGAAGGTTACTACTCCTATGCTACTCTAGATAAAACCAGCCAATGTCAAAAAACCCCTTACATACGGGGGTTGTACAAGTAGACCAGATCAGGTGCGTCATGACTGACAGCTGCATGCTGTGAAAAGGATGGGTCTTCACTTGAAATGCCCTCAGAAGAAGCGGGAAAAGCAGCTTCAACCCTGCGACGAATCGACCTAGCTTGCGCCCGTTGTAAAGCTATGGAGATGCGCACTGCGTAGGAGCTGTCAAAGGCAGATGCAAGGACATCGTCTGCTGCTCCATTATCCTGGCGACAAGTTGCTGCCCGACGGCTGCACTCCCGCAAGAAAGACCTAAAATCAGTACCCATGCATCCGAAAGTCTCCAGAACCAGAGGGATAAGTTTTACTGCGGGTCGGTCACGTAAAGCCCTAGCGTAATGAGACCGTTTCTCCGCCTCCCGCTGTTTTGCAGCCAATCCAACTGTGTGGACAACTGTTGGTGGTGCAGATGGAAGCTGTCAGCCATCTCGACACGCTACCAGCTTGGGGGGCTTCTAATACGTTTTTGAGCCGTTTCTGAGCTTTTGCTCCTCCCATCAGCTGTGCATGTACTCTCTAGCTTCGTCACTCCTACCCTCTGCACAAAACTCGCATTTATTCTCACCTCCTTCTTCCCTTGCCTCCTCCTTCCTCTCCCCTCTCCCTCTCACCCAATCAGGTGCGAGTGCACAGGCTCTCACGCTCCCCCGCTCCTGCCCCCGCCACGTCATCCTCCCCTTCTGCAACTGGCTCACCCGGCGCCGGACGGCAAGATTTGTCTGCATCCGGCGGTCCGTCCCATTCATCAGAGCAGGCAGCAATGTTCCGGTGCCACAACCGACGGGTCAAGAAGCTTGCGGTGAGTTTGAGATGAGATTGGAGTCACTTTTTGGGAATGTTCAAATGTGACTCCGATTCAGGTGCCCCAACCTACGGGTCAAGATTATAATTGTCACAACCAACTGATACACAACAACACAACCTGAAAGAAGCAGCTATTTGGCTGGCTGTACCGTCACCTCTTTCTTTGGCTGCTCCTGCCGGCATCGTGTGTGCTTGTACCTCCCTGTGTGCCTGTAACGAGCAGGTGGAGGAGGGCAATCCGCATGTGGTGTGGAGTGCGAGTGAGGACGCCACACTAAGGCAGCACGACCTGAGAGAGACGTCCATCTGTCCACCGCCCACCACTCACGCACGCTCCCACTCCCCTCTCCACCACTCTCTGTTTCATGGCGCCTCTGAATGCCGCAGTGTGCTGGTATGCTGCTCAACGCCCCCCTCTCCTCCTCTTTCCACGCATGCCTGCTCGCACTCCCCTCTCCTCCACACTCTCTTTCACGGTGCCTCTGAATGCCGCAGTGTGCTGGTATGCCAACCAATGCCCCTCTCTCCTCCCATTGCCACTCACAATCCTCTCTCCACCCCACCACTCCCTCTTTCAGGGCGTTTCTCACTGCTGCAGCAGTGTGCTAGTTTGCTTGCCAGTGCTCCCATAGGCCATGCGTTCCGTCGCACTCCCTCCCCTCACTGAGACTTTTCTGGTTCCATTCTCCTCGCCTCTCACTCTCCTTGCCTGTGCCATCCACCCATGCCATCCACCCCCATGCCATCCACCCCCATGCCATCCACCCCCATGCCATCCACACGCATCTTCTACTAACACGCACTTCCAGTTGCTTCCTTTCATGCAATTTTTTTTTTATCCCCACCCCTTTTCGCTCTTCCCTCGCCTCTCCCCTCCCATTCCAACCTCCTCTTCCCCTGCCACTTTTTTCTACTCCCTCCACAGCTTGATCTTCGGGCAGCTGGAAAAGTTTCTCTCGAAGATGCCCCGCGGGACTCATTGGCCCTCAAGTCCTGTGCCATCAGCCCAACCCGGCCGCACCTACTGATGGTGGGAGGAAGGTGAGGATTCATTCATGTGAACAAGGCAAGAAAGTCTCGTTTTGGGCCTTACAGAGTGGCGAAATCGGGGTTGGTTTCAGGGAGGCGGAATTGGGCTCAGGGAGGGGGAAGTGGGCCTGAGGTTTCTGGCATGCTGTTACAATCCTTCCGTTTGTTCAACAGACTCAGCCATTCCCTGCCCTCTCCATCTCGTCTCTTTCCCCTCGCAGGGCTGCATCACATGTAGCCTCTGAGCCTTTGACTCTCCCTCACTCACTCACTCACTCACTCATGCACGGTGTGTTCCCTCTGCCTTGCGCTCTCTGCTCTGCTGCCTCTCTCCCCGCTGCCCTTCGCCCCTCCATGCCCCGCCCTTCCCAGTGACGCCTTTGCTCGCATCTACGATCGCCGCATGCTCCCATCGCCCTCCTCCCTCTCCCGCGCCTCCCCTCGGCCCAAGCCCCCGCCCCCACTGCTCCTGCTCGCCCCCAGTCACCTCTCTGAACCGGTACGTCCCTCCAGTCCATGTCAGCACCCCTCATCATTCCTCAGCACCCCTCAATACCCCTCATCGCCTCTCAGCACCCCTCTCTGCTCCTGCTTGGCCCCATCCACCTTGCTCCTTTCCAGTTCAGTCCATAACTTACGACCTTAGTTCAGAACCCCTCAGCACCCCTCTCTGCTCCTGCCCGCCTCACACCACCTCTTTGAACTGTTATGTTGTGAAAGCACTTGTTGTAACTGAGTTCGTGTCCGTAGGGATGACATGTCAACAAGGGCGTGTCAACCCGAAGCGCTTTCGAGCTAGAGTGTCAAATACTGTAGCTGTAGTGTCAAGTCGAAGCGCATGTGCGAACATCAGCGACGCAATGTCATTGGTTGGAGAACTTGTTATTTGTAGATCTCATAGGCAGTGAGCGAATCGAAAGAAAGATGATAGGAGAAGGTGTTTGCTGATTGGGCAGTACCTGGTCGTGAGATATGCAGCTGCGACAATCTTCTCTCGTTTGTAGGTTTCAATGATGTGCCAAAACAAAAAGTGTCCGCCGATTTGTATTGGCTGGCAACCTGCAAATTCTTGACACTCTGCCAACAATGTTGGCTGAGTGTCAAAACGCCGAATTGACACTACCCATTTGACATGTCATCCCTACGGACACGACCTGATTGCTAAGTTGGAAACCCCCACCTCCCCCCCACCCCCAACCCCCCTCCCCGTCCCCCTTTCCTCTTCCCCTTCTATCGGCTCGTTCTCTTCACCAGTTTGTCTTTTCCTACATAATCCCTCATATTTCCTAACAAGGCCTTATTTTCTTTCCGTATCTCCCCTTTGTTTCATATTTCCTCCCGTTCCACGCGCCAACACCGCCCAATTGACATTCTCTGACCGCCCCACTCACAAACCCTCTTAACCCCTCCTCCCCTTTCCCTTTCACTTCCCCCATCCCCCTCCTCCAATCCCTTTTACCCCTTACACCCCCCCATACCCTCCTCGCCTGCACTTTGGGCTGCAGCAAGGGCGGTCAGGCCTGCATCTGACCCACGTGGCCTTCTCAGCCAATGGGGAGGAGGCGTTGCTGAGCTACAGTGGCGAGCACGTGTACCTGTTTGACCTGGACCGAGGTGAGCAGACTATATTGACTGCATTGACCTGCATTGACTTGGGGTGAGGAGGGATGAGACGGGTGACAGGTCAGAGGAGATAGGAGAGGGGAGAGGACAGAGGGGAGAGGGGGGGAGGGGAGAGGACAGAGGGGAGAGGGGGGGAGGGGAGAGGGGGGAGGGGCAACGGGGGAGGGGGAAGGGCAGGGAGGAGGGGGGAGGGGGGAGAGGGGAGAGGGGGGAGGAGAGGGGGGAAAGGGGAGAAAGGAGAGTTGGTGCACGTTGTTTGTGTGCTCTCAAATTCAGACTCGTGCTTTGAGAGCAATTGCTTGTGTTTTTTGCACAACATCTGTTCTTCCCCCCTAGCCCCTTCTTCCCTCCTCCCTCCTCTTCTTGTCCCCTCCCTGCTCTCCCAACCTAGCCTCCTCTTCGCCCATCCTTCCTCATATCCTTTCATTCCGCTTCCCCTCTCCCTCTTCTTCCCCTCTCCCTCTTCTTCCCCTCTCCCTCTTCTTCCCCTCTCCTTCTTCTTCCCCTCTCCCTCATCTTCCCCTCTCCCTCTTCTTCCCCCTTCCCAACTTCTTCCCCCTTCCCAACTTCTTCATGTTCCCTCCCTCCTCCTCTTCTTTTCCTCCAGCTTCCCCTTCGCCCCTCGCTTCCCTCCTGCTGACGTGTCAGCTTTCCACAGCCTCTTTTTGAAGCGCAAAAAGAAACCCAATTCCTACGTTTTTTTCTTCAAACCCCTGCCCCACCCTTCCTCCCCTCCAGCCCCAAACCCCCACCTCCCCACCCTCCCCGTTTCCTCCTCCATGTCCCCTCGGCCTGCTCTTTCACTGTTTGCCTCTTTCTCCGCAGCACTGCTTAGGGGAGGAAACGGGCCAACAGCACTGCTGTCGGTGATCTACACGCCTGCTGACCTCTCACCTACTCAGAGGCCCCTCAAACTAATTCCTCCCCTCCTTCCCCTCACCCCCACTTTCTAACCTTCCCCTCCCTCCATGCGCCCTCTGCCTGCACTCTCTTCGAATCCTTCTCAGCAACCCTGCCGTCTATGATCTACACGCCTGCTGACGTGGCAGCGTCTCACAGGCTGGCTCCCCTCAAGCCCTCGGACCTTCATTACAATCACAAAATCGGCACCACCCCCAGCATCAGCAATGGCCGCACTAACGGATTTTGCCAGCCAGACCGGCAGCAGCAGCAGATCTCGTCGCGACAAGAACAGGAGTTAGAGCACAGTGTACATAACCAACATAAGCCCTCTTCTCCTCGCCTAAAGCCCCATACTCCCAAGCCTGGATCAGCTAAGCACTCCGAGCCTGCTAGCCTCGGGGTGAACGACAGAAACGGCGCTCTTCCGAAGCAGGGTGACAGGCCTGGCAGCGGCAGCAGCAGCAGCAGCGTGTGGGATAGGTACACCAATGGACGGACCGAACTGCCTCGGGCTGGAGTGGTTCGGGACCGAGCCGTGGGCCCAGGCTTGGGATCGAGGGACCGGGATTATACCAAGGTTAGTGGGCTGGAATCTGTAACGTCTTGCCTCACCCCACCCTGCTTGCTCAGTCCCCCCAAACCCCCCCCCCGCCTACCCCACCCCAATTCCCAACCCAACTAACCCCCATCCCCAACCCCACCCCCGTCCCAACCCCAACCCCTCACCCTCTACCACCCATCTCCACCCTGTGTCACCCTGCTACTTCCACCCTTGTGCAGTCATTCGCTTTGCCTCCCTGTTCTCCTTCCTTTTTTCCTCTTCTCCTGCCGTCCCTCCACTCGCTTCTTCCTGCCTCTTCCCTTCGATCTTCGCCGCCTGACTTTCCGCCCTTCCCTTCCCTTCCCTTCCCTTCCCTTCCCTTCCCTTCCCTTCCCTTCCCTTCCCTTCCCTTCCCTTCCCTTCCCTTCCCTTCCCTTCCCTTCCCCACCCACCTCCCTTCCACACCTCCCTTCCCTTCCCCACCTCCCTTTTCTTCCCCCCTCCGTTCCCCACCTCCCCTCCCCACCTCCCTTCCCTTCCTTACTTCCACCTTCTCTCCCCAGCTGCAAGAGTGCGAGCAGCTGTTGGAGGAAGCTTCTGCGATAGTTCTCGGCCTGGAGGCCGAGTCAGAAGCAGCCCGACCAGCCGGCGAGGGGGGAGAGGGGCAGGGAGGGCCGTCAGGTGCCACCCCAGGTGCCGCCTCAGGTGCCGCCTCAGGTGCTGCGTCAGGTGCCGCCTCAGGTGGGGCGGGCAGGAGGGCGTCCAGGGAGAGGACGCGGAGCCAGCAGGTGGCGTCCGGGCGGCGGGCCAGCCTGGCAGTAGACCTGTGCAGTGCGGTGCTGGAGGAGGGGGGGGATGTGATTGGACCGGGGGTGCGGCATGACGCGCTCTGTACACGAGCTGCTGCAATGCTGGAGGTGAGTCGTTATGGATGTCTATTGCTGAAGTTGGTTTAGGGGCAAAGGGCTAGCCTGGCAATAGACCTGTGCAGTGCGGTGCTGGAGGAGGGGGGGGATGTGATTGGACCGGGGGTGCGGCATGACGCGCTCTGTACACGAGCTGCTGCAATGCTGGAGGTGAGTCGTTATGGATGTCTATTGCTGAAGTTGGTTTAGGGGCAAAGGGCTAGCCTGGCAATAGACCTGTGCAGTGCGGTGCTGGAGGAGGGGGGGGATGTGATCGGGCCAGGGGTAAGGCACGATGCGCTCTGCACACTAGCCGCTGCAATGCTGGAGGTGAGTTCGGTTGGGTTTCTTCTCGGGGGGCCAGCCTGGCGATCGACCTGTGCAGTGCGGTGTTGAGGAGGGGGGGGAGGTGATCGGTCCGGGTGTGCAGCACGATGCACTCTGCACGCGAGCCGCTGCAATGCCGGAGGTGAGTGGTTTGATATGTTGAGTTTTGAGTCGACTCAACACACGCCTGGTGATCGACCTGTGGAGTGCGGTGTTGAGGAGGGGAGGGAGGTGATCGGTCCGGGGGTGCGGCACGATGCACTCTGCACGCGAGCCGCTGCGATGCTGGAGGCGTGTGTGTTGCTGTGCTGAGCTGATGAGCGCTGGTGAGTCTTCATACCACTCTTCCGGGCAGCAGGCCAGCCTGGCAATAGACCTGTGATGGAGGAGAGGGGGAGGTGATGGAGTTGGGGGTGCGGCATGAGATACCTCACTCATGCTTTTCAACCGTCCTTGTGAGTGATTTTTGAGAATTCTCAAAAATCGCTCATGCTTTTCAACCGTCCCTTCCCTACCCCTCTCTCCCAATACTGCAGTGAAAATATTATCGCCCTTTTACTTTGCGTTGCTGTGATATTACAGAGGGGATGGAAGAATGATGACCTGATGGTGCTGCGTGACTGTAACGAAGCCAGGCGGATCCTCCCCACGTCCATCCGCGCTCACCTCTACATGGCCCATGCCTTCTCCCAGGTGGGCTGACCCGTGTTGACCTCTGTTGACCTCTGTTGACCCCTGTTCTCAAAACTCCTCTACATAACCCATGCCTACTCCCAGGTACGCTGCCCTGTTGACCCCCATTGACCTGTGTTGACCTCCATTGACCTGTTTTGACCTGCCCTGCATTCAAGCTCGCACCCTATCACTCAGTGCATGCAGTCGGGGCAAGGTGCTACGCTATTCATTCGTTCATTCGTTCATTCATTCATTCGTTCATTCGTGGACCACACTGCCCTCCACGTCCATCCGTGCTGATCTCTTCATGACCCGTGCTTCTCCCAATACGGCTGGCCTTTGTTGACCCCTGTTGACCTGCATTGACCTGCGTTGACCTGTGTTGACTTGAATTGACTGGTGTTCCTGCCATTGCCGTTGCCCTTCATTTCACCAGTTGGCTGGCAGCCGCCGGAGGGCATCAAAGGTCTGTTGCTTTCAAAGGTCTGTTGCTTTCAAAGGTCTGTTGCTTTCAAAATCCTTTGTGAAACTCACATCTCTTTGTGAGTGATATTATAGAATTCTCAAAAAATCAAAATCCTTTGTGATACTCACATCTCTCCCCATTCCCTTTTCATCTCTCCCCTTTCTCTCCCCTCCCTTTTCATCCCTGCAGCTGGGGCAGCATCAAGAGGCAGTGGAGTTTGCAGAGCGAGCAGCCGTGTTTGACAGCAACCTCTGTTAGAGTTTCATTGCGTGAAAGAGTAAGTCATAACCCTGTACCCCCCCCATCTCCTCTCTCTTCCCTTGCGTTTCATCCCTGCAGCTGGGGCAGCATCAGGAGGCGGTGGAGTTTGCAGAGCGAGCAGCCGTGTTCGACAGCAACCTCTCCTCCTACGTGGTGTCCCTACGAGCCAAGATGGCTGCTGCAGGTAAGGGAAGGGGAGAAGGAGGGGGGGTGGTTTGGTTTAGTAGAATCAGAACGAGTTTGCAGAGCGAGCAGCCGTGTTCGACAGCAACCTCTCCTCCTATGTCATGTCTCTGCGAGCCAAGATGGCTGCTGCAGGTAGCGAAAAAATCCCACCTCACTGCGCCTCACTGCACTGCACCTCACTGCACCTCACTGCAGCACCTCCCCTCTCCTCTTATGTCATGTCTCTGTGAGCCACGATGACTGGTGCAAGTAATGAGAGTTGGACACCTCTCACCTCACCTTATCTCTCCATTTCCTCTCTAACCTCTTCTCTACCTTCTTTTCTTACCCTTTCCTTTCTTCCCTTCTCCCCCCTAATTTTCTCCCCCCTTCCTTTGTCCCCCTTTCCGCTTCCCCTTCCCCCTTCCCCTTCCCCCTCAGAGGAGGGTAGGCAGAATCGCCTGAGCGCGTGGGGGGAACCACACACGGGGGGAGGGGTGTGGGCTGGGAGCAGCAGCAGCAGCAGCGGCACCAGCAGCGGCAAGTGGTGGGAGCCCTTCTGCTGCTACAGCTGCTGGTGCTACTGCTGATACTGCTACTACTGGTGGTTCAGGTACAGAGACTGTGGCAGGAGTAAGAGCAACAACTGAAGCAGGGGGAGCGACAGTGGCAGGGGCAGGGGCAGGGGCAGGGGCAGGGGCAGGGGCAGGGGCAGGAACAGAGGCTGGGAGAGAGGCAGAGGCAGGGACAGGGGGAAATGCAGAAAGTGCTACAGCTGCTCCTGGTGGTGCTGCTGCTACTGCTGCTGGTGGTAGCGGCAGCACCCACAGCAATCCACACAGGCGCATCAGCATTCGCTCGCTAAGTGACTTACTTAGGTCGCGCTCTCGCCGGCGCGGGCACTTACTTAGCGAGAATGAAGGCTCCTTAGCAAACAGGGAGGAGGCTCCACCTGCAGTGGTGGAAGAGGAGAGAGTGGAGAGAGAGGGAGTGGGGGAAGGGGGAGCAGGGGAAGGGGGAGTAGGTGCAGGGGGAGCGGGGGAGGGGGGAGTAGGTGCAGTGGGAGCAGGGGAGGGGGGAGTGGGCAGAAGAGTGGAGGGGGGTGAAGTTAGGGGGGAAGAGGAGGTGGAATTGGCAGAGGAGGGGTTAGCGGAAGAGGGTGGGGAGGAGGGTGCTGAGGAGGAAAACGAGGAGGATGAAGAGGAGGATTTTGAGGTTCGTGTGGACGTGAGACTGGGTCCAGGCGTTGAAGCAGAGGAGAGAGAAGAAGACAGGGGTGATGCACTGGTGGGAGGAGGAGAAGGAGGAGCGGGAGGAGCGGGAGGAGGAGGGGGAGGAGCGACGAGGGGACGAGGGGCGGGAGGAGGAGAAGTGAGTGGGGAGGCAAGAAGGGTGAGTCTGAACCTGAGACTGAGGAGGAGCAGAGAAGGGGAGGAGGACCGAGAGGAGGGGGTGCGACGGGAAAAGAGCGCGAGAGGAGCAGGCGGAGAGACGAGGAGAATGGGTGCCGGGAGTGTGTGTGCGCGGGAGGAGGGAGCGGAGGAGGACGAGGAAGGAGAGGAGGGGGAGGAGGGTGAAGAGGAAGAGGTGAAAGGGGGGATGAGGGCAGTGGATATGCGGCAGCGGTTTGTGGGGCACTGCAACACGGGGACGGATATCAAGCAGGCGTCGTTTCTGGGCGACCGGGGGGAGTTTGTAACGAGTGGGAGTGATGACGGGCGGTGGTTTGTGTGGGAGAAGCGGACTGGCCGGGTGGTGAAGATGCTGGCAGGGGACGAGCATGGTGAGTGGGAGGGATGAGAGATTATCAGTGGGATGAGAGATTATCAGTGGGATGAGAGATTATCAGTGGGATGAGAGATTATCAGTGGGATGAGAGATTATCAGTGGGATGAGAGATTATCAGTGGGATGAGAGATTATCAGTGGGATGAGAGATTATCAGTGGGATGAGAGATTATCAGTGGGATGAGAGATTATCAGTGGGATGAGAGATTATCAGTGGGATGAGAGATTATCAGTGGGATGAGAGATTATCAGTGGGATGAGAGATTATCAGTGGGATGAGAGATTATCAGTGGGATGAGAGATTATCAGTGGGATGAGAGATTATCAGTGGGATGAGAGATTATCAGTGGGATGAGAGATTATCAGTGGGATGAGAGATTATCAGTGGGATGAGAGATTATCAGTGGGATGAGAGATTATCAGTGGGATGAGAGATTATCAGTGGGATGAGAGATTATCAGTGGGATGAGAGATTATCAGTGGGATGAGAGATTATCAGTGGGATGAGAGATTATCAGTGGGATGAGAGATTATCAGTGGGATGAGAGATTATCAGTGGGATGAGAGATTATCAGTGGGATGAGAGATTATCAGTGGGATGAGAGATTATCAGTGGGATGAGAGATTATCAGTGGGATGAGAGATTATCAGTGGGATGAGAGATTATCAGTGGGATGAGAGATTATCAGTGGGATGAGAGATTATCAGTGGGATGAGAGATTATCAGTGGGGTGAGGATAGGGCGGTGTATAGCATGGCTAGGGCGTTATAGTCAGTGCTTGAGATGCATGGAGTGCTTGAGATGCATGGAGTGCTTGCGATGCATGGAGTGCTTGCGATGCATGGAGTGCTTGAGATGCATGGCAGCCCATGGGAGAACGGGCGTTGGTTTGTGTGGGAGAAGGCGGATTGGCAGGAGAGCTCTCCATACTCCTGCCTTTCCCTTCATTCGTGCATTCGTTTGCTCCATTCCCTCTCTCCTTCCTCCCACAACCCCCATGGCAGTGGTGAACTGCATTCAGTGTCACCCTGTAGACTGCTGTGTCGCCACCACCGCCATCAACCCTCCACTTCTTTCCGTGCTTTCCCTTGGCTCCCCTTGGCTCCCCCTTTTGTTCCCTCTCAACCCCATGGCAGTGGTGAACTGCATTCAGTGTCACCCCGTTGACTGCTGTGTGGCCACTAGCGGCATCGACGACACCATCAAGGTGAGGCACAGCACTTGATGAGAGGGGTACTGGATAAAGGAAGTGCTTGGGATCTGCCACTTCTCCTCACACCCCTCTCGTCACACCCCTCTCCATTCGATCTCCTGCTCGCCTTCACTGGGCCAGCAGGGCCGGTACGGCTGGTGGGGTCTGAACCTGAGCTTGCTGACAGCACAGGTGGAGGGGGCTTCAGCCTAATGCCTTCTGCATGCATGCCTCTTATGTATTTCCCCCCATCAGTTGTGGACGCCCCATGCACCATCGGCATCAAGGGTGGCAGCATTGGTGGGGGGGGGGGGGGGGGGGGGGGGGGGGGGGGCTGGCAGGCCCTGCAGAGCTGGCATCACTGGCAGGGCCAGGGCCTAATGCTTCTCTGTATCCATGCCTCTTGTTTGTTCCCCCCTCCCATATCAGTTGTGGACGCCCCATGCACCATCGGCATCAAGGGTGGCAGCAGGGGTGGGGGGGCCTGAACCTGCCGACATGATTCGAGTGATGGTGGAGAATCAGCAGCGTATGCGGCGACCTCGGGAGTTCTTTGCGTGAGTGTTCCCTTTCTTCCACCTCGCTCTTATTGCATACTCTCTCCTTCCAGAAAGAGGGCATGCCTTATGAACTCCATAACTCGACATGGTATGTGATACATTGCATTCTGGACTCTTGTGCTGCACTTTGGATGGTTCACACTGTACAGGCCAATGGAGCTTCTGCAGCGCCTGCAGATGCATGAGAACGCCGGGTTTGAATGTGCGCAGTCCTGAGCGTCTTCGAGTGTAAAGGGGTGATGTGGTGTATGTGTGCATATCATTAAGAGAGTGGTGTGGTGTGTGAATTGAAGGTCTAGCATATGATGCTCTGATGCAGTTGTGTAAAGAGAATCCCTTTTGACATCTTCAGAGAATGCATGGACTTCAGATCAGAAGGATTATTGTTAGTTGATGTTGGAAGGACTTGTACACTATAATCTTAATATAGACACGCATACGAAGCACAATATCGGCGCTACTAGTGCTTGGACCTGGATTTGTGATTACGCTTCGCTGACTTGGCGTGACAAGCGTTTCTTGTTCGCGGGAAACCGCCCCTGCGGAGAGGTCAGAGACGGGGGAGGCTTCTTGAGTCCTTTCCCTTCGGTCGTGACTTCCGCGCAAATCTCTTCAGCAGGGACCTTGCAGAATGGGGGGCATTAGTTGCGCCGACATAAGGGGAAAGTGCGCGCACGTGGTAGTCAACGATGTCAAAGCCCAGTCCCTCCCTTATGATTGGCTGTTCGTCCTCCAACCTGCATTTTCACTATGCGGGGCGTTGCCTCGCTGGCATACTTTTCCGCCTCCTTCCTGATTCCCGAACCGCTCCCCTTTCTCCACTTCGTCCCTCCCTCCCGTCCCATTCATCCCTTTCCTCCCCCTCTTCCTCTCCTACATTTGTTTCTCACAGAATCAGTCCTTAAAGGTTCACCCCATCCCAGTTTCGCAGTACATATATTTTTGTTCGCCGTTCAAGAAGCGAGTTAGCATTTGTTACCCAGATTATTTTTCAGCCGTATTGACAAAGTTAGCCTACTAGGGAAGGCATTTTTGGAGCTTCTTGTCGTTTTTGTTCTCTTCACCCGCTTGCTCGAGAACAGCAAATGGCTAGACGAAGGACGAACGAGATCATGCTTATCTTCGGACTGCTGACGTGGATATTGCTACTAGTACTGCACCCGACAACGGTTACTTCTCAAAGTTAGTGGCGTTGTTATTCGCAATGGATAATATTGTTCATGCTTCTTTTCTTTTTTTGTTATCTTCGACTGACTCATTTTTATCAAGGTGTACTTTATTCCAAATTGGTATTTAAAAATTTAAAAAAAAAAAAAAAAGAGAGAGAAACGTCTAGTTGCTTTCGTAGATTTACGAAGCTGTACTTAGTGCTAAACTGTTATTCTAAAATTTATTCTTACTGTCTCTTTGACGTTTGAAGTTTTTCCTCTTTCCATGTCGGAGTCGTACGTGTTTCTCGTACGTTGGTCTCGTACATTGGTTTCGTACGCTTGTCTCGTGCGTTGGAATCTGAGTCTCGTTTCATGTTGGAGTCGTGCGTGTGTCTCTTCGTACGTTGGTCGCACTGTGCGGAACGCTCAGCATTCAATGGTACAATAATTTCACCTCTTCGTCAAATTCCCTCTCTCGCGCTCGACTCAACTATATCAATTTCTCTTACTTCTGGAACCTGCCAATCCGTTTGCTTTTCTCTTATAAATATTGTTTGCACCACCTTCCTCCCTTTCGCATCAGACGTGCAAACTTGAAATGGCAGCAAATGCGCCACCACCGACATCAATCCCCCCACCACCACCACTTCTAACGCCGATACCACAGCAAATTTGAAGTCCCTCTTTCCTCTTTCGTTTGTCTTACACCACCGCAACAGGCATGCAAACGTGCTATGGCAGCAACTGCAACACCACCACCAACATCACCACCACCAACACCAACACCAACACCGCTACTGCCAACGCCGCTGCAAATTCCGGTAGCAGCGGCGGCAGCGGCGGCGATTCCTCGAGTTTCAACCTCCCAATGCCCGCAATCATCGGAATTGCAGCGGGGGGCGCCATTGTTCTGCTGCTGGTAGCCATTGCAATCGGGCTCGCAGTGTGCAAGCCCCGCAAGACGGTGGTGCGACACGTGCGGGCTGTACCGCCCCCACTGCCCGTCGTATACAAAGGTGAGAGGGATGCGGGACGGTTGGGAGTGTTTCGGAACGGTTGGAAGGGGTTTGGGACAGCTGCATTCCCCATGGGGTTTGCTATTGGGCTAGCGGTGTGCAAGCCCCGCAAGACTGTGATTTGCCACGTGCGGGCAGCAGCACCACCGCTTCTGATTGTATACAAAGGTGCTCAGGGTGGGTTGATGGTGTTGTGATTTCCCTCTCCTCCACTAGTGGCCGTTGCGATTGGGCTTGCAGTGTGCAAGCCCCGCAAGACCGTGATTTGCCACGTGCGGGCAGCACCACCGCTCCGCTGCTGCCGATTGTATACAAAGGTGAGAGGGGCGTGGAGCGGTTGAGAGGTTTGTGAGACGGTCAAGAGGTGTATGTGCTACAACTGCGTTCGTTCTCGTTCTTTTCATTGTGGGGCTTACATTGTGCCGCCGCCTCACAAGGCGTTGCGTGATTTTGATTTATCGCGGGAAACTTGTGCGGGTTGCACCCCCGCCTCCGCCGATTGTGAAGAAAGGTGCGAGGTGCGTGGAACGGTTGAGAGGGGTGCGGGACGGTTGAGAGCTGTGTGTAACAATCGCCGCCGCCTCACACAAGGCGATTGTGTGCCAAGAAAGGTTCAACACTCGCCAATACGGAGAGTGCTGAGCAATGTGTGCCGCCTCACAAGGCGATGTATGCCGCCTCACAAGGCGATGTGTTCTTTATGAGGGAGAGATTTATGTGATTGTGATTCATGCTGCTTACAGTCACAGTCTTCTCTTCTCCCTTCCCCTTTCCCTCCCCTTTTCCTCTTCCCCCTCCCCTTCCCCTCTCTCCCTCCCCTTCCCCTCTCCCCCTCCCCTTCCCTTCCCCCATTCCCCCCAGGCGCACCTCCCCCCATGATTCCCTACCCGGGTGCCCCCCCACCCCCCCAGGGCATGGGGGGGGCTGCTATGGCGGGGGGGCCAGGCATGGGCGCAATGGGGGCAGGCGTGGGCGCGATGGGGGGGATGGGGGGCGGACAGATGGGCGGAGGGGGGCAGATGATGGGGGGAGGCGGGCAGATGCCATCAGGACCGAACGCCCCTCCTTGGTCTGCAGGCGCACTGGGGGGAGCAGGGGGAATGGGCGCAATGGGGGGAGGCGGGGGGATGGGGTCGGGGCACATGGGGGGAGGCGGGGGGATGGGGTCAGGGCACATGGGGGGGAGGGTGGCGGGGGCCCCAAGTCAGGGCAGCTCGGCCGGGTCTGTTGCCAAACAGGCGCTGCTTCAGGTGCGTTTTCAGGTGCTTCAGGTGCGTTTTCAGGTGCTTCAGGTGCGTTTTCAGGTGCTTCAGGTGAGGTTTCAGGTGCTTCAGGTGCGTTTTCAGTGCTTCAGGTGCGTTTTCAGGTGCTTCAGGTGCGTTTTCAGGTGCTTCAGGTGAGTTTCCAGGTGCCTCAGTTGAATTTTCAGGCGGTGCAGGAGAGTCTTCAGGAGCTGCAGGTGATTTTTCAGGTGCTGCAGGTGCTGCAGGTATTTCTGAAACATTCTCTCGCAAAGATTGGGCAGACCGTTTGCAGCTACGCCTCTTCATCCCTTCTCCTCCCCACTCCATCTCATTGTACCTTTCACCGGTATTCTGAGAGAATTCGCCTCCAGAGATGGAGCAGGCTACATGTGGCTGTGCAGAGAACAGGCGGATTGGCTAGGCCGTTTTATCCTTTCTCCTCTTCTTCCTCTCACTGCCCTCCTTCCACCTCACTTCCTTGTCACAGGTATTCCGAGAGTATTCGCTTCCAGAGATGGAGCAGGCTACATGTGGCTGGGCCGAGAACAGGCGGATTGGCAGCGGCAGCTTTGGGGACGTGTATCGGGGGTTCAACCCGTATAACCCCGAGGAGACTTGGGCGGTTAAGCGGTCGAGGATAATCACCCAAGACTTTCAGCGGGAGGTGAGTGGGCTTATAAAGGGGATACGCGTTTTGAGGCACTATCTGGCGCCGATTCGATTTCTGGGTACTGCATTTTTTTCTCCTGCTTGACATGTGAGTCGACTCGTGACTGCCAGGTGCTGCATGGAAACCAACTCACCGCTCCTCCTTCATTATTCTGCTGGGATTCTGCATTGATTTCAACTCACTAGTCATCCCTTCTGATCCTCCTTCCATCCCTTTCCCAATCCCCCCATCCATCCCACCTCACTCCACCTCTCTCCACCTCTCTCCCTCCCACCAGGTGAAGGAGATGGCATCAAAGCACCACCCGGCGTTGGTGCACCTGCTGGGAGACTGCATAAACTGAACCCGGCATCGACTGCAAGTGGGAGATCGCATAAACTGAACCCACTTGCAGTCTCTTCCCCACTTTTCCTTGCCTCTTTTTACCCCATCGTTCATCGTTCCCCCCCCCCCCCCCATCCCTCCCACCAGGTGAAGAAGATGGCATCGAAGAACCACCCGGCGTTGGTGTGGCTGCTGCTGAGCTATTGCATTAAAACCCACCCCGCCACTCCCCTCATTCTGCTCCTTCCTCCTTCCTTTTCCCTTCCCACTACCCACCCCCCCCCTCTCTCCTTCCCACCAGGTGAAGGAGATGGCATCGAAGCACCACCCAGCGTTGGTGAGACTGCTGGGGTACTGTTTAGACTTCAACACCACCACTCCTCCCTTCCACTCATTCCGCTCCTTCCTCCTTTCCATTCCTTTCCCCGCTGCCCACGCCCTCCTCTCTCCCTCCCACCAGGTGAAGGAGATGGCATCGAAGCACCATCCGGCGTTGGTGAGACTGCTGGGGTACTGTTTACACTTCAACACCACCACTCCTCCCTTCCACTCATTCCGCTCCTTCCTCCTTTCCATTCCTTTCCCCGCTGCCCACGCCCTCCTCTCTCCTTCCCACCAGGTGAAGGAGATGGCATCGAAGCACCACCCGGCGCTGGTGCGACTGCTGGGATACTGCATCGATTTCAACCCTACCACTCAGACAATGGAGCAGATTCTGGTCTACGAGTTTGTGGATAATGGCGACCTTGAGAAGTGGCTCAGCCAAGGTGAGAGTGAGCTGGGTGTGGTGGGGTGCGGTGGGGTGAAATGGGGTGGGGTGCAGTGGGGTGGGGTGGGGTGCGGTGAGAAGTGGTTTAACCAGGTGAGCAATAACTTCAACCCCACCACTCAGACAATGGAGCAGATTCTGGTCTACGAGTTTGTGGATAATGGCGATCTCGAGAAGTGGCTCAGCCAAGGTGAGAGTGAGCTGGGTGTGGTGGGGTGCGGTGGGATGCAGTGGGGTGGGGTGGGGTGGGGTGGGGTATATGGAGTGAGAAGTGGTTGAGGCAGGTGACCATTGATTTCAACCCCACCACTCAGAACATGGAGCAGGTTCTGGTGTGCGAGTTTGTGGACCCTGGAGAAGTGGCTCAGGCAAGGTGAGAAGATGCCCCATAACCACTTTCAAAACACGGTGACAACTGTGGGTGGTGAGTGGGTGGGGTGGGGTCCCATTGACCGCTATCCCCCCACTCAGAACATGGAGCAGATTCTGGTCTACGAGTTTGTGAATAACGGAGACCTCGAGAAATGGCTCAGCCAAGGTGAGAGTCAACTGAATGCAGTGGGGTGGGGTGGGGTGCGGTGCGGTGGGGTGGGGTGCGGTGGGGTGCAGTGGGCTGGGGTGGGGTGTGGTGCGGTGGAAGTGGTTGAGCCAGGTGAGCAATGACTTCAACCCCACCACCCAGAACATGGAGCAGATTCTGGTGTACGAGTTTGTGAATGCACCCGTCCCCATGTCTTACTTCCGTCTCCAGTCTCCTCTCAGACACACCAAGGCCACTCGGCGTGTTTTTGAGTCGACTCAAAAACAGATTCCGTCTCCTGTCTCCTCACGGACTCACCAAGGCCACTCGGGGCAAAGGAGCGAGTGCAGGTGTACCTCACGGAGGGGCTGGGCTGCTTTACCTGACTGCTTTCCCTGAATGCGCGCATCCCCGTGCTTTCCCTGCCGCTCCTTCATCCTCCCACGGGTCACTGGGCATGAAGAAGAGCTGCAGCGTGAAGGATCGCTTTAGCAAAGAACGATAGTCACTTGTTGAAAAATAGTAACCCTGTAGCAAATTAGACTAGGAACCGAAAGCACAGCTCTGTTCTCCGTGCTTTCCCTGACTGCTTTCCCTGACTGCTTTCCCTGACTGCTTTCCCTGAATGCGCGCGTCCCCGTGCTTTCCCTGACGCTCCTTCATCCTCCCCACCCACCCATCCGTTGCCCCATCCCATCCTTTTCAGACAATCCTCGCTCGCTGACCGCAAAGGAGCGAGTGCAGGTGATGATAGGCGTGGCGGAGGGACTGCAGTACCTGCACAGCTTTGGCATCGTGCACCGCGACATCAAGCCCGCCAACATCCTGCTTGACTCGAAAATGAATGTGAGCCGTTAGATAGAGGTGGATGGTGGGTGGAGGGGATGCGGAGAGGGTGCAGGGATTCAGGGTGCAGGGCCGTGAGTACCTGCACAGCTTTGGCATCGTGCACCGCGACATCCTGCTTGACTCGAAAATGAATGTGAGCTGGCGCTTAGAGGTGGGAAGTTGGGGATGCAGTGACTCGGGTAGATAGAGTGCGATGGAATGGCTGCGGAACAGCTTTGGCATCGTGCATCGCGACATCAAGCCCGCCAACATCCTGGACTCCAAGATAAATGTGAGCCCATAGTAATTGATGGGTGTGGGTGGAATAAAAAGATGAAGGGGGGTGGGAGAGGGTTCAGAGGTTTTTAAAATCTGAATTCTTCTGTACCTTATCAGTCCCTGAACGTGTGGTTACCTACCCGTCTAGTACTGGCTCGTTCTGAACTGGCTAGTACTGGCTAGTTCTGAACTGGCTAGTACTGGCTACTTCTGAGTCGACTCAAAACTGGCTCCTGCTCTCACTGTGAAGATTCTCAATTTCCTCCCCACACCCATCTCCCCTCTCCCCTCACCCCATTGCAGAGCAAGATAGCTGAATTCAGGCGGCTCCCCTTATTGCAGCGACACACTCTCTCATACTCTTGCCCTCAACCCTCTCTCATACTCTTGCCCTCAACCCTCTCTCATACTCTTGCCCTCAACCCTCTCTCATACTCTTGCCCTCAACCCTCTCTCATACTCTTGCCCTCAACCCTCTCTCATACTCTTGCCCTCAACCCTCTCTCATACTCTTGCCCTCAACCCTCTCTCATACTCTTGCCCTCAACCCTCTCTCATACTCTTGCCCTCAACCCTCTCTCATACTCTTGCCCTCAACCCTCTCTCATACTCTTGCCCTCAACCCTCTCCCCACACCCATCTCCCCTCGCCCCGTTCCAGGCCAAGGTGGCTGATTCCGGGCCGGGAGAAGGAACGGCGGCTACAATGGCGTTAACACGAGTGATGGGCATACCGGACGATGCCATAACCCCTTAGTTATTTATTCCTTGTTGCACGAAACAGCTCTCATCCTCCTACCTTCAACGTTCTCCCCTTTCCCCTCACCCCATGCCAGGCCAAGGTGGCTGATTTCGGGTTGGTGCGGCTGGGAGAGGGGACCTCAGCTACAATGGCGTCGACACGAGTGATGGGCACACCGGGCTATGTGGACCCTGCCTATTACAAGTCGCAGAAGGCCACTCCTGCCGCCGACGTGCACAGGTACAGAACGGTGAAGAGAGGTGCAGCATGGTACAGAGCGGTACAGAGCACTATCGAGCAGTACAGAGCGGTGCCAGCCGGTATTGGCCTAGAAGTAACTTTCAAGAGTGATGGGCACACAGGGCTATGTGGACCCTGCTTATTACAAGTCGCAGAAGGCCACTCCTGCTGCCGACGTGCACAGGTATGCACAGAGCGGTGCAGGGAGGTGCAGAGCAGTGCCAACCGGCATTGGCCTGTAAGTAAGTTTGCAAGATGGTTCAGTGCGGTGCTTTGGCGCAGAGTTGCTCACAGAAATTACCACTCACAGAAGGAGCACAGTAATTTTCTTCTCTTCTCTCAGCCCCTCTCCTGTCACCTCCCTCCTCTCCTCTCCTCTCCTTTCACTTCCATGCGTCCCCCTGTCCCTGCTCTACCTACCTGTGAGCGCAGCTTTGGCGTTGTCCTTCTAACAGTCATCACTGCTCGCCGGGCCATCTATGAAGTGGGGGACAAGCAGGTCAACATCAAGGACTGGGTAAGCTCTCTCTCTACCCTCCAAAGTTTCGGCTTGTTTTCTCTTCAAATCGTTTACACACCGCTACCTTGTACCTTCCTTCTAATACATGCAGTGGGGGACACGCATGTAAGCACCATGGAGTGCGTATGTGTTTCATCTCCCTCTTATTTCCTTCTCACACTCCTCTCCTCCCACCTCCCCGTTCCAACAGGTTGCCCCGCTTGTCGATGCATGCAACGCACAGGCCTTCCGGGACCCTCGACTCGACGCGCCCGACGATCTCGTGCTGCGCCTCGCGCGCCTCGCCATCGACTGCACCAAGGTGCCTGTCGCATCACGACCGTCCATGGCGCGCGTTCTTGCGGAGCTCATGGATATGAAGGAGGCGTTCTTCGGGCCGGAGACCGACAAGGTGGTTTCGAGCATCGACAGGGAGATCGATGATTCGAATAGTCTGGGAAGCTTGACAGTGGAGTTGAAGAAGGCGGAGCTGCTTGGGGCTGGCAGTGGGAGTGGGGGATTATAATACGGACGGAAGCAAGTTTCAAATAAGTATTACAGTATGTTAGTTTCCACAAGGTGGTGCACACAAGGTTGATAAGCAAGAAATAGTATACTGTGGAATTTTACTGAAGCCCAAGAGCATTTTCTTGCTCATAGCCACGTTGAACATATTTGGCTGAGGCTGTTTTTCTTTTTGTGGCTTTGTTAGTTTTTGTGCTCCCATTTTGCCTCTAATATTCTATGTTTTATATATTCTACAAATCAAACATGTTCAACGTGGAAAGGGTGCCGAAAATGGAGACTTGTTTGATCCTTATCCTGCCGTAAGAGCGTGTTACCATTCCTTATCCTTATGTTGAGGAGGACCTTGCGGGAGGTCTCGTGGCCCACTTGCAAGTTGGGCTGGTTGCACTGCATAACTGGATGACTGGATGCCAAACAGCGATACCGGGCAGGTGTCAGAACATTTCAAACATCACCACCGATTGGTACACTGACTGTTTTAAAGCATTGCTGCTGAGCCTTTGCCTTGTTGGCTCACGGTTCGGTTGAAATTCTTCCCAATCAAACAGTAACCTTCAACAACGCATGCATCCTGGGCAGAATACCACCATCCCATCTCACGGCATCGCAACTCAACAAAATCAAGAGATTCATTGCAGGATATTTGCGTATAGATTCTGTCCGACACTGAGGACCGCGGCTCGTGATGCTGCCCTCCAGGTGATTTTTCTCTGTCTGCCCTTCCCAAACCAACCCAACTCGTTCGCCATGCGGCTCGGGAATGTGCCCCTTTTGTGCGGGAGCAGAGCATTCGAGCCAGGCGGAGCGTAGGCGGAGCGTGCGTGCATAGGACGAACATTGAGGGTGGGCCTGCTTCGGGGTCCAGAGTGTAATGCGCTACCAGTCAGGACTTCGGAAATTCCAACATGGCAGGGAATGCAGACGGAAATCTCTGAGAGCAATGCGATAGCATGGCATATTCTCAAGATAGCAAATGCGTTTCCTTCTTCCGTTCCAACACAGCACCCCTTTGCCATGCCAAGCATGACTGTGGTCTCTTCCCCAAGTCGTCCTTTCCCGCGCCATTTTGCATGCGGCATTTGGGTATTTCGGCTCTTCTCCTCACCTAAACCTGTCTAGTAAACGGAATTCGTTTAGCTGTTTTATCAGGACCACCGTCCAGACACTACAAGATTCTTCACTCAACGTCCCTCCTAACTGAGGAGCAAGTGATTGAGTTGAGAGAAGCTTGACCTTTGCAGACAGAGACTTTCAGCGGATCATAGTTAGCGGTCAGTGTCATTACTTGCGTAGTTTATCAAACGATGAACGTCATGGATCGCTACTCACAATGTCGCTCGATTCATCACGGCAACTCCGATGACTTACTACTTCACGTCCCCATTCGCTGGACCCCGCCCCATTCGCCACGCGTCCACGACATGGCGATGCACGCTGGCGAAACTGGTAACCCGTCCATAAAAAGTCGCGGATTCCCCGTCGGTTTGCACCTTCGTCCAGATACCGCCACGGGAGACTTCAACGTATCCCAGCAGCCAATGGCTGGCGGAAGCTTCGAGGTTCTGCCCATTGTGTCCCCCCGACACTGCCCTCTTCCGCCTCACCCCCCGCACTGGCAACCTTCCCCCGATATCCCCCGCGGGTCCGCGGCGGCAGGCCCCCGCGAGTCCGCGGCGGCAGGCCCCCGCGAATTCCCCCGGCAGCACTGCGGCAGACGCGCGTCGCGTGGCGCCGCCGATGCATGCGCCGCCGTTGCGCGCCTCGGCGGCGGAGAAATCATCCTCGAAACGGGAAGCGGCGACACAGCGCTTGGAGCAGTAACGGCTGAACCGCTCGTACCGGAAATACTGGCGGTGTCTTGCAGACCCGCATCGCACGAGGATGTCAGCTGCTTCTTGCCCGTCAGCCGCGATAGTTCCAGTCGAAGCAGAAGTTTCGAAGAAGAAACACTGGCTCATCGGTGGCACGCAGAGGGCGGCGCGCGCGTGGCGCCACTGCCGCCGACCGCGGTTGAGAGAGGCGGAAGCTTCGCGTCGAACAAGTCGGACGGTCCGGGAGAGTCCAGCTGGGAGAAGGAGTTTCTGGATTGGACGGAGGAGTGCGCTGGCGGCGCCGCTGTCACGCCACGTTTGGAGACGGCAGAGGCGGCTCGAAGGGCCTCCGACGCGGCGCCCCCGACGCCGCCGGCGTTGGCGCAAACGTCGAAACTGACGGAGGACGTTCGATCGAAGCACGGCAATTTATCTCTTCGATATTTGGGGGTAAGTCCTTGAAACGATTTTTGTGCTCGGCTTTTGCTCATTTTATTTCTTCATCGATTTACATGGGAAAAACGGGAGTATTACACCTCGGCCGCGTTTTGAGTCACGGGAGTAAAAACGGGAAAAACCTCGGCCGCGTTTTGAGTCGCCTCGAAGTTCGTTCATAGACGTCTTTTTAGTTGCATTTGACGCATTATTTGCTCATTGTAATCCATCTTTCGTCCTTTTACGTGACAGGGAAGCAAAGCCGCGCACCGAGTGGAGCCGCATGAAGACGGGGAGAAGGCGCACCATATAATCTCCCCGCGCGATGGTGGAGACTCCCGCGGAAGCGTCAAGCATTCCCGCGCAAGCGGCGGGCACTACAATCTTTTCTCGCGCAGCAGCAGCAGGGATGACGCGCATTCACGCGGAAGCTTCGGTGATGACGCGCACTCCCGCGGAAGCGGCGGCGGGGACGACGGACATTCCCGCGCAAGCGGCGGAGATGACGCACACTCCCGCGCAAGTAGCGGACACTACAACCTCTTCTCGCGCAGCAGCACGCGGAAAGAACGAGCCGTTGCCGCCGCAACAAGCGCCGCCACTGCTGTCGCGACAGCAGCAGTGGCCACTGACGAACCATCACTACTAGTGGCGAGACAAATGACGTCAGGATCAGCTGCCACGTCATATTGCGGTTCGGACTCGTCGTTCGGGGATCAAACCGCCGGCGTTGGATTTCCCGCCCGCTACCACGACCCGCTTTCCGCCTCCCCCCACGCTCGCGCGTTTCCCCCGCGGCTTCCGCACCCGCCGTCCCCCTCCAGCTGTCCGTTCCCGTTTGCAACAGGAGTAGCCGCAGCAGCAGCGGCGGCGGCGGCAACACCGGCAGGAGCAGAAGCCGACACGAGTGCGATAAAGAAGCGGTTGAGTGCGATGATGCAGTTTCCCACGTGGGAGCAGCAGCAGAAGGAGCGGCAGAAGCAGCAAGACGCGGCGGCGAGTACGGCGCAGCACGCGCTGAGGCAAGCGCAGGAGGAGCTGCTGTTTCCCAAGTTCCATGCGCCCGGGCAAGTGGAGCCGTTGCACGCGCCGAAACAACCGCCGCAACAACCGCCGCAGCAGCAGCTCAATCCGCTTATATCCTCCGCGCAGGAGGCAAAACTGCTGGAGACAAAATTGCCGCCCGGAGTGCCGACATTCGGCAGTAGAGCCGAGCACTCGGCGACTCCAGACAGCAGCGATCATGGCGGCGGCGTGGCTTGGGGCAGGGGGATGCGCAGGGGCTACGGGGAGTGCGGAGGCGTGGAGAGCGGTACTGGTGGGTCAAACAGTGGTGTGGTTCGGCCTGCAAGCCGAGGGAGTGGCGACGGGGGTGTGGGGTGGGGGAGGGATGAGGGGAGAAGCAACACATTGCCGGGGGGACATGGCATGTGGGGCAGGGAGCAAGGGACGAGTGGCGGTGAGAGTGGTGGAGTGCGGTTGAGAGACGTGGGGAAGGTTGACAGGGAGGGCGGTGGGATGTTGAGGAGTAACTGGGAGTGTGGCAGCGTGGGGTGGGACCACGGAGAGTCCCACAGCATGGGCAGCAACGCTAGCAGCAGCGTTGATAACAGCGTTGCAAACAGCAGCTATGGTCAATCTTCTTCCCACGGAAATATTTTTGAGTCGACTCAAAAGCTGTCCCACCACGCACGCGATTCGGCATATCACACACGCAACGCCCACCACTACTCTCCCCCTGTCGGCCACGTGTCCCACGGCTATGCTGACTCAGCATCAGGCGCAGCAGCAGCCTTCATGCCGTCACCACCTGGCAGCACACCCGCATCGTCCGGTGGAATGACATCAGGCCACGTGGCAACATCCCACGTGGCACCATCCAACGTGGCATCAGGCCACGTGGCGTCAAATGGCGGCTGCAGGGTGTTCTCTCCGGAGCAGCTGGTCGCAGCAACCAACGGCTTCCACCCCTCCAACCTGCTCGGCGCTGGCGCCTTCGGCCAGGTACAAACCTTCACTGAACCTTCAGCGAATCTTCAGCGAACCTTTGCCAAACCTTCTCTGAACCTTCATCGACTCTCTCTCCAACCCCCGCTCTTGCATTCGCTGCATTTGTTGTCACGCATGCGCCACCCTCAAACCACTTTCTGCTCCCTGCCCTCTCCTCTCTCTCCCCACAGGTGTTCAAGGGCAACCTGTTGGCTGTGACGTGGCAATAAAGAAACTCCAGGGGAACGGGTGGCAGGGCGAGGAGGAGTACGGCAGAGAGGTGACCGTGTCGTCGCGCATGCGCCACCCTCAACCCCCCTCTGCTCTCTGCTCTCTGCTCTCTGATCTCTCCTCTCTCCTCTCTGCAGGTGTATAAGGGCATTCTGCTGGGCTGCGAGGTGGCGATCAAGAAGCTGGAGGGGAACGGGTGGCAGGGCGAGGAGGAGTACGGCACAGAGGTACACGTGCTGTCGCGCATGCGCCACCCGCACATCGTGCTGCTCATGGCTGCCCCGCCATCAACTGCCTTGTCTACGAGTTCCTGCCTGGAGGGGACCTCTCACAACACCTCTGCGCTTCTGCTTCTGCTGGTGTTTCTACCGCCTCCGCTGCTTCTGCTGCTGCTGGTGTTTCTACCGCCTCCGCTGCTTCTGCTGCTGCTGGTGCCAGTGCTGCTACCAACACCATGCCTGCACTCTGCCGCCCGCTCTCCTGGCCGGATCGGATCAGAATCTTATCCGAGATCTCCGGTGCGCTGCTCTACCTGCACCAGCACTCCCCCCCGATCGCGCACCGGGACTTAAAGCCCCAGAACATCCTCCTCGATACAAGCCTCCGCGCCAAGCTGGCAGACGTCGGCCTGGCTCGCCTGATCGACTGCGGCAACGGGGACGAATACAACGGTGGAGATGGGTCCGGAGGGTACGGAGGAGGAGGAGGGGGGAATGTGACGGCGAGAGTGAGGGGAACGGTGGGGTATATCGACCCAGAGGAGTTGGTTACGTGTGAGGTGTCTGTGTTAGGGGATGTGTATGCGCTGGGGGTGGTGATGCTGCAGATGCTGATGGGGATTCCGGAGGTGAAGCAGACTGTGAAGGTGATGCGGACGGCTCATGATTTGTTGGAGAAGGGGCAGTGGAGCGGCAATGACACTGGCAGCAGCAGCAACGCCAGCACAGTAACCAGCAGCAGCACTAGCAGCAACAGCAGCGGCACCAGCACCAGTAGCAGATGGACACGTCACCTGACTGCAAGCCTGCAACGAGCAGTGAATGTGATTATAGAGAGGTTGGATGACTCGGGGGGGAAGTGGGACCGCGGTGCTGCTGCTGAGGTGGCGGCTATTGCAATCTGCTGCACCAACAGGAGGCGAGCAAGCCGGCCGGATCTTGAAAGGGAGGTGCATGAGGTGCTGATGCAGTTGGCAGAGGAGAGTGTGGGGTGTGCGGGGAGGCAGCAGGATGCTTCCAACAGTCACCTGCTCTGTCCCCTGTCTAAGGTGAGTGAGTTTATCATTCCTGAAAGGGAGGTGCGTGAGGTGCTGATGCCACTGGCAGAGGAGAGTGCTGGGTGTGCAGAGAGGCAGCAGGATGCAGCCAACAGTCACCTGCTCTGTCCCCTGTCTAAGGTGAGTGAGTTAATCATTCCTGAAAGGGAGGTGCGTGAGGTGCTGATGCCACTGGCAGAGGAGAGTGCTGGGTGTGCAGAGAGGCAGCAGGATGCAGCCAACAGTCACCTGCTCTGTCCCCTGTCTAAGGTGAGTGAGTTAATCATTCCTGAAAGGGAGGTGCGTGAGGTGCTGATGCCACTGGCAGAGGAGAGTGCTGGGTGTGCAGAGAGGCAGCAGGATGCAGCCAACAGTCACCTGCTCTGTCCCCTGTCTAAGGTGAGTGAGTTAATCATTCCTGAAAGGGAGGTGCGTGAGGTGCTGATGCCACTGGCAGAGGAGAGTGCTGGGTGTGCAGAGAGGCAGCAGGATGCAGCCAACAGTCACCTGCTCTGCCCTCTTGTCTAAGGTGAGTGAATGAGTCGGTTCCCACTGCCATGTAACACGCGGTATTGCGTACACTGGCTCGGGGTAAGTGCTCGGTACTTATTGGTATGCGACATGTGTGCGTTGTGCAGATGCGGATGAGAGAACCGGTGGTGGCAGCAGATGGGTACACATATGAGAAGACAGAGATTGAGAAATGGATGGAGACCAGCAGCAGATCTCCCATAACAGGAGAGCTTTTTGCGCATCCCATGCTCACTCCGAACAATGCAATGAGTGTTATCATCAAATAAACAGGGGTGCCTGACTGTCCGTGTTAAATAATACGCAATATCTGTGCCTGGGTGCCAGAATAAGCAACATATTTGGTTTCCGATTATCATGAACAACGTATAAGTGCCCCTGTGTACCAAAAGCACACCTGACGGCAAAGCACCATGGCAAATGAGATGCAACGACACCACCTTCACCTCAGCTGAGATGTAACCAGTCGCTCCATTCAACCAACAGCACACAGGTACCAAGCACCAACAATTGCAACCCTTTTGTAGGGCTGCAGTGTTTCATCTCGTACCGTTTTCTCCCGGATCTAAAAATACAGGGAAAAAAGGGGGGTGTCTTCTCGTAGGAAAAAGCTACATAATACCCGGGTCTTTACATATTGCTACGATCAGAGAATGATCGCTAACCAGGATCTACTCGGGAAGGTTCGCACACAGGGAAATGTAGTTGGTGGGCCCGTGACCTCAATAGCAGAGTGAATGTAAAATGCTTGAGATAATAAGAGCATGCAAATACAACGATATAAATAAGGGTACAAGGGAATACGAAGCGACCTAACTAGCCATGTACTCTAAGGGGTACATTCCCTTATTCAAATACATTCCCAACCGTGCGGCGCGTACAGTTTCGTAACTGTTCCCGCCAAAACATCCTGCCTGCAGCTGTCCGATGCCGTCTGCTTCCGACGGTCCAGATGCGACCCAACTGTCTGACACTTCGAGTCAAACTCCAACTGTCTGACGGTTCGCTTTCTTGCTTCGATACTGCGTACTTCTCTTTGCTGCGGTGAGGAGTGCTCAGTAACAATTACATGTTACTATTCGTAACACCCCCCTTCACTCCTGGCCGTAGCTCGATTTGACCTGCTTGACCACGCCGCTGAGTTCGGAGCAGTGCTGATACTGCTGGCGTGGCAGTCGCTTTGTGAGGAAATCTGCTGCCATGTCACCGGTCGGGCAATAGGTCAAGTTGACCTTGCCCTTGTCCACTTCGTCCTTCACGAAGAAATATCGCAGCGCAATGTGCTTGGTGCGATTGACGAAACCAGGTTTGTTCGCGATGCGAATCGCGCTCTGGTTGTCGCAGTGAAGTCGAAAGATTGGTGAAGTTTGAATTTTTGCCTCCTGCAGGAGTTCCTGTAGGTAGAGGCCTTCGCGAACTGCTGCGGTTGCTGCGATGAACTCCGCTTCGGCTGACGACAGGGCAACCAGCTCCTGCTTCTGTGAATTCCAGGAGATTGGCCCCGTTGGTTCGAGTCGGAACAGGAAGCCGGTCCTGGACCGTCGATTGTCGGGATCTGCTGCATGATCGGCATCCACATAGCCGACGAGATTGAAGGATGGGGTTGGTGCAGTTGAGTAGCACAGCCCAATCTTGGGCGTTGAGACGAAAAATTGCAAAGCGCGCTGCAGGTCCAGGTGATTTTCAGCCGTTGGTTTCCGTGAGTGCTGGGCAAGCTGACTTGCGATGTAGGAGAGGTCTGGCCTGCAGGTGACAGAGGCGAAAAGGAGGCATCCCAGCTGCTGTTGGTAAGTCTGGATTCCAGCAGGGGACAGGGCTTTGTTGTCAGGTTTGTGGTTCGGTCCGGTGCGGGTGAAATCTTGAACCGCTTCCCTAACTCCTCTGCGTACTTGGTTGCTGACAGATGAATGGCTTCAGGCGCGTAGGAGATGTTGAGGCCTAGGAACTGCTTCACCTCGTAGTTGCACGTGATGTCGACGCGCCCCGCCAGGGCCTTCTCGAACTGTTCGAGCAGCTCGTTGTTTGAGCCCGTGTAGAGCAAGTCGTCGACGTAGACCGTGAGGAGGATGTATTCCCCGCGGAAATCGCGGCGGTACATTCCTAGGTCGTGGGGCATCTGCTTGAACCCGATTTCAAGCAAGATGTTGTGCAAGTACTGCTGCCACAGCCTTGGAGCCTGCTTGATGCCGTACAGTGACTTGCGCAGCTGGCATACCCGCGAGTCACTTTCGCCATAGGTGTGTGGCTGCTCCACGTAAATCACAGCGTCCACTAACGCGTATAGGAACGCGTTTTTGACATCGATCTGGCGGAGTGGCAGGTGCCTTGCAGCTGCGATAGCGAGTAAGATGCGGACGGAGGTGTGGCGACTGACGGGGGCGAATGTCTGGTCGAAATCGATCCCATGCCTCTGGTCATAGCCGCGAACCACCCAGCGCGCTTTAAAGCGCTCAATCGTTCCGTCAGCTGCGGTCTTCACGCGGAAGACCCATTTCCCCGAGAGGATTCTTGCACCTTTGATTGCTGCGCGGTCAACGAGCACCCAGGTGTCGTTTGACTCCAGTGCCTTGATTTCCGCGTCCATTGCCTCACGCCATTCCTTGCTGTGTGGTCCAGAGAGGGCTTCGCGCGGGTTTCGGGGCTCGATGACGCGCGGCGCTTTCGAGGTTGCGGTGTGAAGTCCGAGCAGTTGCAGTCCTGAGACGGTACTGTCGTGGTGACGCTGCGGGACGACTTCCTGCACGTCATCATCGTCGCTCTCGGGTTCGGGTGGTGCTGATGGTGCTGCGCCTCCGCCGCTTCCGCCCGTTCCGCCTATTCCTCCTCCTGAGGAATCATCGTCGTTGTCGCTGCTGCGCCGATCTTCCCAAGTGAATTCGGCCCTGGTGTCCTGCTCTAGAAGTGCTGCAGCGGCTTCGTCTTCGGGCGTTGCGTAGCTGTGGCCGTTGTTCGCGTAAACGCGATCTGCATTCCTCTGTTCGTCGTCGCGGAACTGGTCGAGGAAGAGACGCTCGTAGAAAATTACGTCGCGAGCGTGAGCGGTTTTCTGACTGAGGAGGTCCAGTACGATCCATGCTTTGTACTCGTGACTGATGCCGAGGTGAATTCCCCAGCGCGCGCGACTGGCGAATTTGCCGATGGTTGATGTTGGCGGGCGGTACTGCACCATGCACCCCCACACGCGGAGCATGGAGGTATCCCCCTTGGTCCCGGTCCCCCTTGGATGTGCGGGGAGAGATTCCCGCTGATCGTGGTGGTTGAAAGCAGGTTGTGCACCCGCACGGCGTGGTGCATCGCGTAGGTCCAGTAGATCGGCGGCAGCTTCGACTGCTTCATTAGCGCCCGCACCTTCGTCATCAGTGTGCGATTCGTTCGCTCCGCTACGCCTTGCTGCTGATGTGCGTAGGGGAGAGAGATGTGATGTTCGATCCCCTTTTGCGCCAGGTAAGTTTGCATCTGGTTGCTTCTGAACTCTGCTGCGCCGTCAGATTGCCAGATCTTTAGCTTCTTTCCAAATTGTCGCTCCGCATGCGCTAGCCAGAGCCGAAACACCTCGTAGGCTCTGTCGCGCGTCTCCACGTTCACGACCCACACGTAGCGTGTTCCAGCGTCAATGAAGGTGAGAGTGTATAGCTCGTCCTCGACTCCGCAATGCCCCACGTTCAGGAAATCGCTGTACACCTTGTGCAGTTTGGGGTATGCGGCGCAGGTGAACGTTCCGCGTGCCTCGGCGAGGCTCTGTTGGCGAAGCTCCTCGGCTTCGCGGCGCGCCAGTTCTTCCTCCTGTTCCATGGTAAGTGTTGCCGTGGGGTCGCGCCAATGTGGGTAAATCTGCAGAAAATTCTCGCGGGTGTAGGGGCGTGGGATGCCACGCGCATCGAAGGTACCGACACCAGTTCCACGAAGCATCCCTCGAAGATGTTGAGAAGGGGGACCTGTGAGGGGGTGCTCAGGCGTGCCGAACACGCCATGCGTGGTGACTTCGAGTTCGAGTTGCGACATCCCTTCCTCGGGGGGCGCGTTGCGCTCTGCTTCCGCGATGGCGGCGAGTCCGCGGCCTGCAATCGCGCTCGTCGAGGTCGTCGGCGTGTGACAATCCCTGCAGATGCCATCTGGATCGGGGTTGTGAAGTTCCGTTTCGCGTGGGTGGGGATGATGCGGCACCCACGGCCTGCCGTCAGGGTGCTTCCAGTCCCTGTGGTGGATGTGGTCGAATCGCAGTGGCACGAGGTCAATCAGCTCGTGCGAGTCGCCGCTGCAGTCGGGAATATCGAAATCCAGGATGTACACTCCATTTTCGGAGTGTGCTCGTCCGATCTGCCTGCGGGGAAAGGTGCGCGATTCGTAGTGCAGCAGAATGTCGCGCGTCGCGCGATCTGTGCTGAGTTCTACGCCGCAATCCATGAGCTGTGCGGCGGACAGGAGGTTGAAGCGCAGGTTCTGGACTATCAGCACATCGTTGAGCGTGATGTGCGTGCGGCTTCCGCGTGCTTTGAGCACAACGATGCCTTGCGCGCTTGCGCGCAGGCGCGTGTTGTTCGCCACTGTGACGTAAGTGACTGTGGGGGTGGCGACGGCGTTGGATATGTAACGCTCGGAGCCTACCATATGCTGGCCGCAGCAGCTGTCCAGGTACCAAGTGTTGTAGCGCTTGTTGTTGTCACGTGCGAGCAGCGCCAGTCGCGGCGTGACGATATGCGCAGTGTCGAACTTCAGGAATTGCTCGCGCGAGAGCCAATCAAGTGGCGCCACCCGCATGTCAGGTACGTGCGGGGGACTCTCAAGCAGCGGGACTGGGAGATTCCAGTCCTGGTCGTCGTCGTCGGTGAAGTCGTGGCGCGGACTGAATGGGTTGTTGTTAGAGAACGCGCCAATGGGATGCGGTGCTGGCTCAGGTGATGGTGAGCGCACGCGGCGACGACGGGACTCGCCTGTCATGGCCATGTTGCTCATGACATTGCGTACTGTGGCAGTCGGTGGCGGCTGCTGCTGCTGATGCTGAACCGCGGGGTTCAAGTTGTGCGCGGGTTGGGGTTGATACCCCTGGGCTGGACGCACGTCGCCTCGTGCGTCTTGTCGGCCGGGCCAAGTGCTCGGATTGGTCTGGCGAGGGCGAGATCGGTATTTACATCGATCCGCCAGGTGCCCGAAAGTCCTGCAAATTTTGCAGTAGAGGCGCCTCGGACGTCGCTCTTCGTTGTTGTCGGCGTAGAAGGCGATCCGTTCTCTTTCTCGTCGTGGCGCTGGTCGCTGCTGATCCATATCCCGT